TGAAAATGAAACAACAACAACAATTGAAAGTGTTACATTCGGTGCTGGCCATTTACTTATATGTGGTACATTATCAGGTTATATTTATATATGGGATATAAATACAAAACTATTACGTTCAACACTTAATTTACAAAGTGGTATTGTTAAATGTTTGTTGAATGAAGGTTATCTTTTATATACAGCATGTCTTGATGGTCATATTCGTTTAATGGACATAAGAAATGGTGAACCATTAAAAGAATGGAAAAGTGGTGGTGGTCAAGGTTGTGAAATAATGGATATGGTTATAACAAAAGATAAACGACATTTACTTTGTGCATATATGCAAGGCTTATGTCGTGTATTTAAATTAAAAGAATAAAGAAAAAAACCTAAAGTGTTCTTCCGTGTGATATATATATATATATATACATAAACGAAAGATCAACGACATGTTTTTGTTTTTTTAGATTATAAACAAATGTTTGACCTTGTGAACGACATTTTATCTCTTTTGATTCATGTCAAAAGTCAAGATATGAAAATGAAGGATTAGCGTGAGTTTCATATGGATAGAGAATTTTAAAATCAAATGTAGATGCATTTGATCAATAGACTTTTTTTGTTTTGTTATATCTCATTATTGTTAAATCTATCATTAATGATCTTTAATTTATGTTCATAAGTAACATTTTATAGATGCATTATAACCTATTACTAGATAAAAGACAGACATCATAATCACTAGTCGGTGTACGACACGTGCATTGAAAAAAATAGTTCAATCTAATTGATTTTTTTTGTCGTTGTTGTCAGCAACATAAATATTATTCGACTGAACGTATGTTAAGAAGACGCATTGTAATGTTTGGCCTCACCGCCGTCATTGCCACTTTTTTTTCTGTTGTTGCTGTTCTTCTTTTCTTTCTCTCCGCGTGATTCCACATATTCTTGATAAAGTGTGAGGACCATTGGGATGGAAACATTTCTCTTTTCTCAGCGCAGCAACGCACAAAAGACGATGAAGAAAGGAAACACATTGTGTGTGTGAGTCGTTGTTCGTTTCCTCTTCATTCGTTCTTCTTCTTTTTTTTTCTAGATTATATATATATATATATATATATAGGTAAGAGAGACACACAGGCTCCCTCTCTGCCTCGCTCTTTCTCTCTGTTGAACAGACGACGGCAAGTAAGCGAGCGAAGCATAAAGACGAAGGAAAAAAAAAAAGAAAAGTAAGAGTAATCATATCTTTTGCTTCAATAATGAATATGAACTCTATGGGTATGTTTTTCTTTTGTCTAGTGAGTTGAAAAAATGGAAAATCAAGGTAAATAATATCTCATTCTTTTTTTTTTCTTAATTATTAAATTGCTTTTTCTTTTTTCTTTTTCTCTCATTCTTCATTTATAAAGAAAATTCAATAAACATTCAACCTAATGATCATCATGGTAAAAAGAAAGAAATCAAATTTTGAATAGTTACAATTTCATCATTTTTTTTTAATAGAAATTTCATCAAATGATTGTGTCGAAGGACTTACATTGTCAATGACAAGAATAATTGAAGGGGGTAAAAATGAGAATAAATATTCATATTCACCTTGCACATACCTACTACTTTCTCTTTCTATGTATATACATTTAGATACCTATCCGATCTCAGATAATGAATCAGCAACAGATTCAGTGTATATAGCCGACACGAACAATGTCATATTACAACAAAATAATAATGATGAACAAGGTGAATTGAATCGTAAGTAAAACACGTTCATAGGATTTTTCTTCGTATATGTATTGTCATACAATCATTAAAGATGTAAGACCTTCAATTAAATATATCTTATCGAAATGTGGTATTCCATTGACTGTAATGTATTGCATAAGAATCACTATTAAAGGATTGCTTTTTTGTACGTGAAAGTGTTTTGTCTTCTTCATTTTTTCGAGATTAACTATTTCTTCTTCTTTCTATCTCTATCTCTCTTGTCTATCTTCTCTGATGTTCATCTGTTTGTCAATACACCGACCTCGTCCCGTCGTCGATTCTCGACAAAATGACAAATACAACTTGTTGTCGTTGTCTCTCGTAACTTGCATAAAACTATCTATACATCAATAATGATACTACAAAAACAACTACTACTACTACTTTTCTCTATAATTCATTCAACTATTGCAAATGTTGAAACATTACATTTTGAAAGTGCTTGTTTACAACAAACAAATTTAGTACATTTAAATCTTCGTTGTTCTCAATATGAACATATACAAGTTATACGTGTTATATATGGTTATACAAAACAACCATTATTAGACGAATGTCATTTTAGTATATATGATTGTATACAAGAAGGTTCAAGTCATAATATTTTATCATGCAATGGTAAACAAACTTGTTTAATAAATTTAACAAAAAATGAAATGCTTTCATCATCAATAACAACACCTGGTGTACCTAATTGTCCAGATTTTAATTATATACAAGTTAATTTTGGTTGTATACCTGATTCAAAAGATATTTGTGATAGTTGGAAAGATGAAGGATCAATTATTCATTTAAGTCATACATATTCAAAAGATCGAACATATAATCGTTGTCATTGTAAAATACGTTCATCAATGACAAATGGACAAGTTTTACTTCATGCACGTGAAATAAATCGTGAACATGATTTATATAAATCATTTATATATCCAAAACAATTAAATTTAGATTGTAAACAAACGACATATTTAGAAATAGCAATAAGTCGTCATGAAAGAAAATGTATAGATATGTTACCAACAAATAATATTGCTTTATTTGGTTCTGGTTCACATAATTTTACATTAGGTTATGTTAAAAATGATCCGTTTTCCGAATTATTTTTTTATTTGGAATTAAAAGCAAGTCCTATGAAAAAAGATCATAATGTACAAATTATTTGTAATTGGGCAAGACGTAAAACAACAACAATAGAACCAGTGACGACAGCAATACTAAGTTCAACAATTCCAGTTCGAAAAAAAACAAAAGGAACAACAATTAGTATGGAAAGTGGAGTAAAATCAAGTCGTATTGATCTTATTCGACATAAACCTATAATTCATAATGATGTTGAAGATACGACTAATATTCCAGATGAAGAAGAAGAAGGGGAAGGAGAAGAGACAGAGGAAGAACCAGTAGAAGTAGAAGAAGAAGAAGATTTAACAAGTACTATTCCAGTAAAATTATTGAAAACTAAAAGACCAAAATCTAGAAAAACTACTAAAATAACAACAACAACAACCACGATTGAAACAACTGTAGTAACATTATCTGATGAAGATGAAGAATGGACACGTATTTTAGCCAATGCTAAAATTGATTCACAAGTACCTACACAATTAGTTTCAATAAATAATCGAACATTTGCTACTGCAGCTCAAGCATCAATAATAACATCGGATCAAAAACTTCGTCATTCAACATCTAATAATCTTCTTATCATTCTTCTTGTTATTATATGTCTAACATTTATAATACTTATTATCTATTGTCTTAAAATTAAACAACCTGGTTGTATACAACGTTTAAAAACAAATACAAATGTTGCATTTCTATTTTGTTGTGAAGCTGGTAAACTTTTATTTCGTTCACCGAATGAATCACATCGTCAATCACATACAATATCAAATACACCAACAAGTACAATAGGAAATCGTCATCGTCATCGTCACCGTCATAATCGACCTTCACCACCATCAATGCCTGATTATCAATCAAGTGAATACTATGTGGATGAAACAGGAAATACTTGTCGTACAACACAAAGTATCTATGATGGCGGCGGCGGTAGTGGTCATGGCGGTGAAAAATCAATTTATAGTATCGATTATGACGAAGAAGAAACAGAATATACGACTAAATATGATCGACATCATGAAGGCGGCAGTTGTTAAAAAGAGAACAGAGAACGCGTTTCGTTGCCTTTTTTTTCTCACCTTCTTTTTTGATCGTTTAGAATAAGTTGATTGTGTCTTGAGAATTCTCTCTCTCTCTCTCTTTTTTTTGTTTATAAGTATATATATATATATAAGCGTACGATTAGTATCGGAAATAAAATAAGCACAATAATATATGATTAATACTTAACATTTTTTTTTTCTTCTATTTATAGACAGTATGTCTCAGGATTCATTGGCACACGGTGAACACGATAACAATAAAAATAATAATAATAATAATAATGATAACAATAATACTAACAAAATTGAACGACCTTCATCAACAACAGCAACAACATCAAAAATGAGTAGTAAAATGTCAACAATAAAATCCACAGCCAATGGTAATGGTCTTCGATCACTTGCTCTTGATGAACATATTAAATTAGTAAAACAAAAAAAAGAAGAAGCTGAAGTATTACGTTTACAAAGATTTCAAGAACAGCTGCGGAAAAAAGAACAAAAGTGGTAAGTGCTTATTAATGAGACTACCCACTGATGTTCATCATTATATAATATTCAGTTTTTTTTTAATGACTTAAAAGAAAAGTTAACCATGCATTCATTTTTGAACTGAGAGGATTTTTAAAAAAACGCAATCTAATACTCGAGAATAAATTCATTATCGATTAAAATCTTACATTAAATATCGAATGTATCAAAATCAAATTATTGGTAAAGAATTCTTTTCTCATTGTACTACTAATCTAAAAATAATTTTCCTTTTAATACTGATCTTTCACCTTTAACTTTTTCATAATTAAACATTTATGTAATAATATGATATTTTAAATTTTTTTTTCTACTAATCTTACTTTTATTTACACTCACCATACAATTCATTGTTTACAATTTGTTCTAAATGTCTATAGGCTTAATCGTTAGTTATTATCTACATCAGCTTGCGTTTGACATCTTTTTTTCTCTCTTTATAGTCGTCTAAGACAATGACACTAGAGCATTTATCGTCTATCGATTATGTATAGAACGGAAAGATTTTCTTATTTGTATGCTGAGTTAACTACGAAGAAAAATCTCTTCGTTTTTTTTTCAGTGATTGATGTATATTAAATAGGAAGAAAAATATTGACAAGAAATTCCTATATGTAAATGAGGAAAAAAAATCTTTAGCTTAACAAGAATAATATGTCAAGATTATTATTTTTAGGCAACAGCAACAATTAGAACGAGTCAAAAAATGGTTACAATTACGTAATCGTGATACAGATCATCGATCACAAGTTGAAGAAAGACGAAGAAAACGTGATGAAGAAGCTAAAGTAAATAATATTTAAATTTTCTTTTTTTTTTCTTCTTCTAAACTTGATTTTTCTATTGTCTAGGCAAAATTAGATGAATTATTACGTCGTGAAAAAGAACGGGAACAAAGAGTTACTAATAATCTAAAGTAAAATCAATGTCATTTTTAACAATAAATATGATGTAAGGATATATTTTTTTCTCTCTTGTAGAACAAATGTACCACATAAACCTGAATCTATAATGAGTATGTCTACAGATATACTTTCGACTCGGCGAGCTATTTCAGCAACACGTTTACGTCCAAATCAACGAGGATTACATGAATCTTCGGATGAAAATTCAAACAGTAAGTTCATTTATTCATTGCATGATAAAATTTAGAATTAGTAGTTTTTAGTATAGAATATGTTTGTCTATAGAAAAAATCTTTTTTTCTGTTTTATTCTTTCTCTCCATCTTGTAGTTGTCATCAGTTCCCATCAACTTAATCCGATTGACGAGCTACAAAATCATCAATCAAGTGACGAGAGTTCAGGTACACCGCTTTCATCGGCACGTAGTCAAAAACGACCGCTGCCAACATCTTACGCTTATTGGTTAACTACCGGTGATAAGAATAATAACCATAATAGTGCAAATTTCATGCGTTCGACATTTACAGCAACGTGTCATTCACGTATTAGTCGTAGTGTTGAACGATGTTCTCGGGATTGTCGAGGTATTCTACCCTTTCCTGAATTCTGGTTTTCAGCTTGAATTTCAGATTTTGTGTGCGCATGCTTGTGTTTTATATATATATATTTATATATTGCCTGGCTTTAATTATTCAAAATATAATAGAATTGAAAGAACATTTTCCTATGAATTTTTTAGCTCAAGATGAAGTATTAAATGGTGACTCTCAACGTCGAGTACCAAGTACAAATCGTCAACATCTAAATGAAACTATTCGTCGACTTGCTAAACCAAAAACGAATGCCATTATGACTCAATCAATACATATTGGTGCAATATCATCATCAACATCATCTAATGGTATTCCATTATCAAGATCCAGTCATCAACTTCGTTTAACAACTTCATCTGTCGCTACAACTTCGTCTAATAATCGAAGGGTAAATATATTGTTTTAAAATAATTCTTTCAAAATTATATTTTTTATTTATTTTTAGCATAATCCTACACGTCCAGCAACTGTTCCAACATCAACTAATGAATCTCGAACATCACCAACAGATGATTCTTCCAGATCTGATCATATATCATCAAATAAACATATCTCACATCGTTCTAAAAATCCACCTTCTACAACAAAACCATCCGCGATCTCTACTTCTTCTCACTCTAGACAACCTAATCAACGTTCTCTAATGACTACCTCACATTCATCTTCTTCACTTTCATCATCAACAACAAATAAACGTCGTATTGCAATAGTACCACCATCAAAATCAAAATTAACAACTGAAAATCAATTAATAACAACTAATAATGAAGAAGAAATTCTACCGGTGAATGAAGAAAGTTCTTCTGAACCATTAAATAATGATACACCTACAGAAACAACTAATCCAATTAAACGTGAACAACAAACAAATGATGAACAAGAATATCAACGTAAATTAAATCAAAAAATTCGTGAAGCACAACAACGTTTAGAACTTGAACGTCAACGTGAAGAAGAACAAAAACGTCAATTAGAATTCGAAGAATATGAACGTGAACAAGAACAAATACGTCTCGTTGAAGAACAACGTCGTGCTGAACAAGAACGTTTACAACGTGCTATTGAAGAACGTGAACGTGAAAATGAATTAAAACGACAAGAAGAACAACGTTTACAACAGCAACGTGAAGAATTAGAAAGAAAACAAGCTGAAGAAACTGAACGTCTGAATCGTGAACGTCAAGAGAGAGCAAGAAAAGAAGAAGAAGAAAGAAATGAAAGAAAAAAACGTTTAGATTTAATTATGAGACGTACACGACAAATTTCACCAACTTCTAAGGTAATTTCTCAATTCAATTACGAAGAGATTAAAAAACTTAGCAACGTTTTGGTCTATAAATGGATTCAACAACACATTCTATTTACTATAGATTAGGATATGTCAATTAGTTCTATATAATATAATTTCTTTTCCATAATGTTTACAGAGTACCGATTATCATTGATTCTGTTGTTTCCCTATCAGCTGTAGATACTATTATTCGAATGGTAAACAATGTAAATGTCAGGATTGTCTTCTAATAGAAATATTAAAATTAAGAGATTGAATAATAGAAAATCAGAGATGAACATAGTAATGATTTCAATTTGTTTTTATAACATAGATTTTTAAAAAAACTGTATTTTTATTTAGCAGGAAAATAATACAACGAAACCTGCTATCGATCAAACAAATGGACATGATCAATCAAATAATAATCCTTCGCCAACTAATATAATCAAATCTTCAATACCACATTCAATATCAGATACTCATTTTATCACTTCTTCAACGGCCGATTCCTTCCTACAAAATAATGATTCAGTTGTATCTCCGCCGATAGCAACTACTGATACACCAAAGTAATATAAAACTAATGAATGAAACTTACTCTAATAAACATATATATGTATGTATAGATTTAAATCACCATTGATACAAAGTCTTCTAAATAAAGCACGAAATACACGATCGACAGATAATTTAATACAAACAAGTATGACAGCATCACAAATCATGACTGAAAGTATGATTGATGAATCCATAACAGCTGTAAAATCATCAATACCAACTGATCTTTCTGATGATGATCATCAAGAAAATTCAAGAATTAATAATACTACTAATGGTCATAGTGATCTACAGTGAGTGTAACATTCGAATACAATTCAATAATTATACATTAATTTTACTTTTTTTAAAGCTTGTCTTCATCAACAAATTTAAATTCATATCATGATCGTCCAAGAGAAGCAACAGCTGCTTTTCAATAAAGTAAAAGAGTCATACAATGGTGTTGTAAGTTTATTCTTTTGTTTAAAAAAAAGAATTGTTCTTATATTTCTTAATTCATCTTTTTAGATTGAAGATATCAAAAAATCAATTTGAGCAAAATATCCATTATCTAGTCTTCTACGATCAATTTCTCTTTATTGTTTTGTTTTGTTTTTTTTCTTATTTAACTCGCTCAATAATTGCATTGTCTGCAAAAAAAAACATTTTTTTAAACAAAAAAAAAGAAGCAATAGCCATATATCACCCGTACAAGAGACTGACAAACATATTATTATCATCCTTCATTTGTTTCTTTGTTCATATAACGTTTGCGTACGTTTTTTTGTGTGTGTACGTGTGCGCTCTTGTTTTTTTTCTTGCTTCATACCCCATTGTTCTTATTTTTTTTTCTTAAACAAAACGCCCTGTTCACGGTAATCAAATACAGAGCAAAATCAGTCAAACAGGTTTATTATATTCTTTAAAGTCATATTAAAATGACTTGCCATATAGTCAAAATGGTTTGTGAATAATAGTAAAGAATTGCATTCTCTCAAGTGTTTAGCCATCATCGTCAACAAGAGACTATATCTTCTAGAAAAAGCATAAAATATATCATACTCATTAATATAAAAGTCAATGATGTGAACTTAGAGTGTCATTAGTAGTAGAAATTAAAAAATCTGAACAGTAAGAAAAAGATTTAGTATTTTTCTAAGTTGGTAATGATAACATCAGACATATGTATGCGTTTTCTCTCTCGTGCTTATTTTCTGCTTGTTTATCTTGAATGATTAATTTGTGAAGATCGTCAATGTTTATGTTATAAACTTAGAAAAAATTCTTTGATCTTACATCGCTTTCTTGTGAACATTTCTTCCAATGATACAACTAATTAGTATTTTAATGTCTTTCTATTTCTAAAGTTTTTTTAAAGTTGGATGGAATTATAAGACGACAAAAAGACAGCGATATACATCACTAAGAATTTATCGGATATATATGCAATAATGATTTATTAGAATTGAAATTGAGTTAAAAATGAGAAGCAGATCATATTTTAAAAAGCAGAAAAAAATTGAAAAAGCACAAGAGACAGAAAAAAAAGCAGAAAAGTTTTGTTGGAATTCTTAATATAGAGTGAAGATAAATGTTAGTGTGTATTGTGTAATGTTTTATAAGAGTAATATACTTAGTAGAGTAATGAAAGTGTTAATGAATAAATAAAGATTAGCCATCAATAATCCTTAACAATGGAAGAGAACACTGACAGTGCCAGAATTCTCATTTGAAACAATAATATCAGGTCTGTTGTCACTATTCACATCAACCACTGCTACTGAACGAGCGCCATTACCAACTGGGTAAGTAATTTGAGGATTAAAGGAGCCATTACCTGCGTTGAGAAGAACACCGACGACGTAGGGCGAATAATAGTTTGGAACAATAATATCAGGTTTATTGTCGCTATTAACATCAACGACTGCTACTCCATATGGATTACCAACTGAGTAATTAGTCTGGGCATTAAAGGTGCCGCTGCCTCCGTTGAAAAGAACGGTAACAGTGTACGAACCTCGGTTTGCAACAATAATATCAGGTTTATTGTCGTTATTCACATCGACGACTGCTAGTGAATATGGGTTAGTACCAACTGGGTAAGTCGATTGAGTACTAAAGGCGCCACTGCCTGTGTTGAAAAGTACACTGACAGTGTTATCGCTGTAGTTTACAACAACAATATCGGGTTTATTGTTGCTATTCACATCAACGACTGCTACTGCATATGGGCCAGTACCAACTGCGTAAGTAGCTTGAGCACCGAAGGTACCGGTGCCTGTGTTCAGAAGAACACCGACGGTGCTCAAGCCACCGTTGGAAACAATAATGTCGGGTTTATTGTCGCTATTCACATCGACGACTGCTACTCCTTGAGGGCTACTGCCAACTGTGTAATTAGTTTGAGCCTTAAAGGTACCGTTGCCTGCGTTGAGAAGAACGCTGACAGTGCCCGAACCAGCGTTTACAACAACAATATCGGATTTATTGTCGCTATTCACATCGACGACTGCTGCTGCAAATGGAGCACCACCAGTTGGGTAAGTAGTTTGATTATTAAAGGTACCGTTGCCTGCGTTGAGAAGAACACTGACAGTGCTCGCTCCATAGTTTGGAACAATAATATCGGGTTTATTGTCGCTATTCACATCAACGACTACTACTGTTTGAGGATACTGGCCAACTGAGTAAGTAGTTTGATTAAGAAAATAGCTGCAGGCTATTAAATACAAAAAAATTGCTCTTACATCTATATTGGTATATAGATAATATTCAATCGTCGTATTTTATTCAATCTTTGAGAGTTTGACTTAACTGAACATATTCTATTCGAAAAGATTATGTCACTGAATTTCGGGCAATTTAAGATATTCTAGAGCATAACTAAAGTCAGTTTTCAGCCATTCTATCAATCTCTATGTGAAATATTCTTGTAAATTTGAAAAATCGACGAAGTCATCTCAGTCTACTTAAAACTTGCGCTCTCTTTTTTAAAGTTTCGTGATATCCTAGACTAAGAGGACTCAGAATACTTTCCAAGCAGAATTCAGAATTCTGTACATTTATCTAGAATTTCATTTCAACATATATACCATTCCTTTTTTTAAATTGCATTATAATATGAAATTCTTTAGACAATATGATAACTCTGTGTCATATAGATCAACCATATGTCTGCAAAATTCTAAATTCTACTTTTCAAGTATTTTATAATTACCTGTGCAGTCACACCCTATTCTCCTTCTCGTCGAAAACAGCTCAACAAAAATAAGTTGTCTGTTTGCGTTCTTGCGGGTTTGTTTTTCAGTGTTTGGCATAGATATGCACGGAATTAAAAACGGAATTGCATCAGAGTCTACTAGATGTTGTACTATTAGACCGATCTAACCATTACACATTTTATTTATTGTAAGTTGTGTTCTCCAATACTTACTCTTCGAATCGATATACTTCTCAGATTCGATTACTGTTCTCTTGTGATTTTATACATGTAAAACAAGGTTCCGCCAATAATGATTATGGAAGAACACAAGTCACAATCAATAAAACTTCTAGTACTTAGTCTGGTTTATTAGCACAGTATCTAATAGACTCTGTGCAGCCTCCTGCTGATTGATCGAAAACCATCCAGAGAGAAAAAATTAAAGACGAGGTGCAGAAGACTATATACGAGCCGGCGAAGAGTAACCAAAAAAAGCAACAACAACGAGGCTTATTTCTTGCTGATAAAATCCTCGTTATGCTACTATGCTCTAGTTCTATCTTACTGTTGACTGTTTTTTCTGAAAAAAGTAATCGCCAGTGATACGTCTGAATCGACGTCAGTTTTTTTAATGTCGGCTCTCGTAGTGCAGGTCTCTACCATCAGCGTGATGACTACAATTTGTTACGTTAAGAAATAACGCTTCTGCAAGAGACTACTGAGCGAATCTCAAGGCAAGTGTCATTTGTTCATCGAAATGATAAATCTTTGAAAGATAAACTCTCAAAATTTTAAATTTCATTAATGAAACAAATCATCAGTTAGAAAACTGCGAAAAAGTACAACACATTATCTAACATAATACTGACCGGGTGTTGTTGTTGTTGTTGACGATGTGGATGATGTTGATGACGAAGTAGTAGTTTTTGTTGTTGTTGTTGAAGTTGTTGATGTGGTTGACGATGTGGATGATGTTGATGATGAGGTTGTTGTTGATGTTGAAGATGTGGATGATGTTGATGACGAAGTAGTAGTTGTGGTTGTTGTTGTTGATGTTGTTGACGATGTGGATGATGTAGATGATGATGTTGTTGTTGACGTTGCCGATGTGGATGATGTTGATGATGAAGTGGTTGATGTTGTTGTTGATGTTGTTGACGATGTGGATGATGTAGATGATGATGTTGTTGTTGATGTTGCCGATGTGGAGGATGTTGATGATGAAGTCGACGATGATGTTGTAGTTGATGTCGTAGTCGGTCCTGTTTTAGACAAATATCATTGGAGGTGTAGGTGTGGGCGTGGGCGTGGCTGTGGCTCTTCTTCAATCTACATACCCACACCCTCAATATGAGTGTGAAAATTCAAGAGGATGCGCGTCCACACCCACACCTATCTTTATCCTAGCTAGCTGATCGATTCCTAAGAGATAGGACTAAGTTAGGCTATAGAGAAGTGACTTATTGATCTTTCTAATTATATTATCGTTTGTGCTATTCTAAAAGCAACTCTATGAGTATACTGCTCGTGATATATAATATACAGCAAGTAGGAAGGTTTATGAACAGTTTGTTCTATATGTCTACCAGTTTATTTGACGATCAATGTAGAAGAGAGAAAGAGTTTTTTCCTTGCGATATATCTTTCCTAAATAATTGTAGTTGTACTTACCGAGTGGAATTCGTGTTCCATCCGTAACAATCATAGTAACAGTGTCCATATTGACCATCAGATTGCCATTTTGGTTTGATATATCAGCAAATAATTCACAAATAGACGATGATTTATGGAAAGTAACTGCTTTACAATGGACGTCAGCTAAACAAGCAATTTGACACTGGCGGATATTCGACACATTAACAGTGACAAATGGTAAGCAAGTTGTGTTAGAACATTGGAGTTGCCAACCAGCCATTTCAGATATATCATATGATCGTATATCTTGTGTGTCTGATTGTGTAAAAAAAAGAAATAGAAGAAATAAAATATTTCTTCTCAACGCCATAACCAACAAGAATGTTAGTTAAGACATGAATTTAACTTTAAATGAAATACTTGTGAAGACATAGCATTAAATAACTGTTCAGTTTTTCTCTTTTTCTCTTTTTCTCTTTCTTTTTCTGTGTCTTCCTTTCTCTCTCGTTCTATGTTTCCCTCTCTCTTTTTTTGTCTTTCTCTTCTCACATCAAAGATGTTTTTTTTATTTCATCAGTGCGATGGTAAATTACTCATGATTTTCTTTTGTCAGGATTGTGTAGCAGAGGCTAAATTTGAACAAGTCATGCATCTAAAGTGATGATTTTCTTTTGCGTAGTTTATGTGTTGGTAGAAAACAAAAATACGTATATCTAAAAATCTTGATTTATGTGGAAATAATGATCACTTCGTTTGTTTATAATATGGGACCACTTTATATGAAGTTCAATTCTATATATTAACATAAGAAACGCTTTATGAAATAAATCAATTAATAGAAACTACTTTTCAGCATTCTGAAGAAACTTCAATAAATGTTCATCTTTGTAAACAATCAGTCTTTTTTCTTCGCATGAAATGTATCTCATCCAACAGAATGGTGTCTGTTCTCTCTTTGTTTTCAGTTCTATGTTGCTATAATATAAAATGTGTACACAACACAAAAACTATCTGAAGATAATTTTATTTATTCTTTCAAAAAATCGTTAGAAGAAAACACACTACGCAATGATATTTGCCTGTTATAATCAGAATAATGGAAATTAGATGGTCGAAGAAAACTATCCGTTACAAAAAAATGATTGTAACCAATATCCGCTGATATTGGAAGAAAAACATCGTTACTATGCCGTTAGGAAATTATAAATGACGTTCATGACGTCTCTACTTTATATATACATTTTATGTAACAAAATTAATGAAAATACTCTTTAGAGTTTCGAATATACTATATATCATTGTGATATTTTCTGTTTTGTTCATGAGTCTCAGAATCCATAAGATCTAAATTAGTGAGATAATTCTGGAACCATTCCTCCATATTAATACTATGTCTCTTTTTTTCACTCATTATAGATATTTTTTTATTTCATCAGTATGATGGAAAACTAATTATGACTTTTTGTTTGTCAGGATTGTATATCAGAGCTTCACTTTGAAATATCATGCATTTAGAAATATGATTTTTTTTATTTCATCAATATGATGGAAAAAAAGTTTACACTTTTTTTGTCAGGATTGTGTAGTAGAGGTTAACTTTCAACAAGTCATGCATCTAGAGTGATGATTTTCTTTTGCGTAGTTTATGTGCAGGCACAAAACAAATACGTATATCTTGAAATCTTGTTTTATGAGTAAAAAATCAGTTTATTTGCTTATAATATGAGATCAGTCTATATTAAATTTAATTCCATATGTCAACATAAGAAACGCTTTATGAAATAAATCAATTAATAGAAACTATTTTTCAGCGTTCTAAAGTAACTTCAATAATTGCTCATCTTCACAAATAATCAGACATTTTTCCTCAATAAAATATATCCCATCCAATAGAATGATGTTTGTTCTTTTTTTTAGTTTTATGCTATAATAATATAAAATGTGTACACAATACAAAAGCTATTTCAAGATGATTTGATTCTCTTTACAAAGAAACGTTAGAAAAAAACCTTTGTATAACGTTGTTCGTCTATTATAATCAGAATAATGGAAACTGCATTTTCCAAGAAAACTGTATTACAGAAAAGGATGATAAAAAATTTGCGTTATTCTTGGAAAAAAAATGTGTCGTCATTATGCATTTGGAAAATTAACAATAATGTTTATGACGTCTTTACTTTGTTCATACATTGTGTTTAACAAAATTAATGCAATAACTCTTTGGAGTTTTGAATATATTATATACTGTTGTGATATTTTCTGTTTTGTTCATGAGTCTCTGAATCCATAAGATCCAAACTAGTGAGAAAATTCTTGAACCCTTCTTCTATATTACAACTATGTGAAACAACAAACACAGAACACACAAAATCTACATCCAGAATCCACAGAGGAGAGGGTATCCAGAATATGCTGAATAATTGAATCACCTGGGAAACTCATATAATCTATGAATACAAAGAATTCTGAGAGCTCTAGGAACACAAAAAACTGACATCATCTTCAATTTTGCAAATCAACAAGATTAATTCTCAATAAATAAATATACATAAAGTTATTATTCGACATCAGAAATAATAATCATTTTTTGAATTTTATTTTGTATTAAATAGAAAAGAAAAGAGAGAAGCTAAACAAAAAAAAAGGAAATAATACTTATACTAGAAATAATAAATATTATAATGAGAGGCCTTTCGAATGTTTTTCTTCTTCGTGAAACTAGTTTGAAAATGGTGATGTAGTTTTATAGTAAATATTATGAAAATGTTACATTATAATTGAAGACAAAAACCCGTTAAAAAAGTACAGATTTAGCTTCATAATAGATACTATGAAGATATCAAATCACAACGACAGACAAAAATCTGTAGAAATACAGAAAAAAATTGATAGAATGGTTCAACAAACAGGAAATGAGAAAAAGAAAAAAAAGCTTGTTGAAGAAGGATAGTTTACAATGAATAAGTCGTAATATAAAGCGATAAATCCACGCGACTAGATTTTTTCATGAAGCAGGAGAAACCTTCTGAACTTACTTGACAGATACTTTTCATAGAATAATTATGATACTCAGTGAATTGATATGAAAAATATTGTGTCGACCATAATTCAAAACCGTTGATCAAAATAAACTACATTAAGAACATTAAAAATCTAATTCATAGTTGAATCGACTTTTTTCATCATAAAGAACTATTCATAACTAAAGTTTTCATATATGAGAAATTGTAGTTTCTATATAAATCATTATTTTATTCATACGCGACTTCTATCGGTATTGTTTTTGAACCTTTGCTACTATTTTTGGTTTATTATTCGACCGTTTTTGTTAAACACCAAAATTTATTTTCAGTTGAATACAATAGATCATTGATTTTAGAAAACAATTTTATTTGTAACGATCATAATCAGACACCAGTGGCGGATCTAGGATTTTGGAAGGGGGGGGCGATTTTTTTTTTTTTTGGTATTGAGAAGCAATACCTGGGGAGGGGGTGGGGGATTTTTTTTATTTTGAGTATGGAGGGGCGATACTTGGGGAGGAGGGGGGCGATTTTGGTTAAAAGCTATTTTTTGAGTCCAACCGAAGTAGTGTGAACCTATTTTTTCGCTCATTTTTGCTGTAAAAAATCAAAAAAAAATTCGGAAGGGGGGGCGATCGCCCCCATCGCCCCCCCCTAAATCCGCCACTGTCAGACACAATAAATTCTTTGATATTCTTGTAAAACTATTGACACATTCTTATGAACAATTTTAAAGGGAGATATTTCATTTTATTAATCAACGAACAAGAAATTATGATATTCATGTGTGACTAAAGTAAATTGGAAAACAAGTAATTTTTTAATATTTTAATTATGAATTATCAAATATAAATATAATCATTGCTACATATCTTTAGAGGTGTAGACCGCGCGACTGAGCAGCCGCCGCCGCCGTCAGTTGACAGTTAAGATTTTGTTTATTTTTTTGCATATTTTTTTGTAGCCATGCACATTTTTGATGAACTTCTATATTTTTATTTATTGTTCAGCTTATATTAGTTATGTACTTTATTCTATTCAGATGTAAAATAAAGTTTCTACAAATATTTGTTTGAAAATATAAACGATTGGATATTGAGACGGACAAGTTTTTATTTTTTCTTAATTATATAATACTCTTTTAAACTTCAAGCCGCCGCCGATTACCCTATCGGCTTACACCTCTATTCACATCACAGCAATAATCGTTTTTGGTGTGTTATTGATTTTCCTCATGAATGAATAGATTTATATGAAACTGTTATAAATTTATTTCATTTAATTGTACCTTTTACTATTAATTTCATTTCAATCTTTATTCTTTTAACTAATGTAGTTCGTCGTAAAGTGACACTATTGGATGTTGCAACAAAAATCTTATATTTTCATTCGCTTTCTTATGTGTTCAAGTACTATGGCAAAAACAATTTACAAATATTGAAAAGAATGAAACGATTTATAAAAGAATCCTATCGCTTAACTGGATATATATTTTCTAATTTGAATTAACTTTTGCCTTTCATTTGAGATATGAACTGTCAAACGCAGCTCATCATGAAATAGATGCAACTTTTTGACAATGTATCTAAAAATTCGACACGAACTGGTTTTAGAACATCAGATTGGAACTGAGATAAACTCTTATATAACCTCATAATTTGTCGAACTTCTTTTTAAGATATTTAATTGATAACTTTTTGTTCTATTATGCACTGGATTCAAAACAATTAATTAGTTGAATCGGTTCTTTCGTAAGCTGTATATAAATTGCAAACTAATTTTTGGTAATTGTATTTGAGAACTCAAGAATTACTGCATTTCGCTGTTGGGGTAAATATCAGAATATAATATATGATCGATAAATAACACATCCTTTCCTATTCATATAGCTATTCTGGTACTCATCAGCTATTCCTAATTGTTTTAGCTTTTGAACATTTCTTATGTTTACAGTAAACATCACTATAAATTGTACGACTTTTTTAAATACATATCTTTATCGGTTCGAGGCTATAGAGTCGTTGCAGCAATGATAACAACAAATTGATCACTTGATTTTTGTTTCCCAAACTTACAATTATCAAGTTAAGTTCACACATAGTTCTTTTATCTCAATTTTTACACGATATATTTTTTCGTTTTCCAAGTAGTAAAAACTATTAGAACGAAGTGCTATAAATAATCTAGCTTTTTTTAATCTATTTCAAACAAATGTTCACTTCTCTGAATATCAAAAGCACGCTCCATAAACTATTTTCTTGATTTTAGTAATAACACACAAAAAATATAAAAATATTCAATCTATCAAATAATCATGCCTTCCCTCCTCAGTCCTCATCTGCTGCAGCCTATTTGCACTTGCAGAGATAATGATAACTACGATGACCACGAAGAAAACTATGATCAAGACTATCATCATCATCATCATCATCATCATCACGATCATCATAACTATTACCATTATCACGACGACAAGTGTTACCATCACGACGGACATAACGTTCCTTATTACGATTATAATACCAACCAGAACATTTACCACAATATGTACAAGCTTGACCGCCACAATCAAGTTTCCTTTGAGAAAGTGATTCAGTTGCTTCTGGGCTTTCTAAAAGAAAACATGTATTATTTATTAAAAATTGACAACCAAAACAAGACCGCTCGCTACTCTATTACGAAACGATATATTTTATTTATGAATTCTTTTCAATTGAGTAACTGTGTCAATGTGAAGATGTGATCAAACTATATGATTTTAACTGATAGAAATGAAAAAATCCACTGGAGTCATTTGAGAGATATCATCAGTCGTTCTGTTAATGAAACAGAAAGATGTCATACTCTTTCTATCTGGATGAATCTACTAATCAATAGCAAAGGACTTCTAAAGATTATGCAGAACTGTTGACATTGATTCATCGTACAGTCAATAGTTGATCGTATTCAATAACTCAAGTAAAATCTCTAGCTATTAAATGTTCACTTGTTCAATATTAACTCAGACCTTACTTGGTCCGTCTCTTGTGACTTTAAACAATCTCAACCATCTACGACTTTGGTCTATTTCTCCTCGGAGAGCTAATTAACACAATTGATCACGAAGATCAAAGAAATAATGTTTTATAGTTGATATAAAGGTGCAATAATTTATAAAATAGTCCAGTTATAATTCTAATCATAGATATTATCAATTTATATGTGAAAAACATATTGATAAGAATGTAACTAATCGATCTAAGCCTTATTCATTATTTTGATGAGACATAAATTTAACGGTGCTTAGCATACTGATTAAGTGATTTTTATTCTCTTCTGCTCATTATGCAAAAAATTATTGGAGAAAAATAAATATCAGGCCTGTATATGATTCTTAATCATTTTCTAATTTATATTCCAGGTGATTAGCTAAAGTCTCTTGTCAATTTTAATATCATTGTACAAACTATGATCTATATTCTCTGCACCATGAGTCGATGTGTTTTGAAAAATAATACACTGAAAATTTATTTAAATTGGACGTCAAAAAATACCTATCATTATTGTTGGTGTTTGTTGATATTCAACTTCGACAGGTTTTTCTTGAACGTAGATAATACGATCCCATTTTATTCTTTCACTTTCTTCTTTATTAAATTCAATTATAGTTGCTTGAGAAAAATGAGTCAACTCTATATTAAGTTGATCAATCTTTTGTTTAAGTCTTGTTAAATCATGTTCAATATAATCATCAGCTTCTTTTAAATCAGCTAATTCATCTGAGAAGCCTTTGAACTCATTTGTAATTTTTCTAGATTTTGAATTCATCAGCTCATTAACCTGTTGACGCGCATGTTCAGCTGTTTGTTGCACTTTTTCAACTGTAATCTTTTCCCATACATTGATATCTTCAATAAGTGGATTGCTTGAGTTGTTTAGTTTTGTTGCCTTGTTGATTTTTTCTTGAAGTTTATTACGCTCTCCAACGAGTTCTTCCATCTCAGTAAATAATATTTCACGATGACTTTTGAAATCCTTTGTGCAGAAGTAACCATCACAACCAATGCAATACATCACCCCTGATGGCTTCTGACAAGTAGAACATTGATTTGATTTTGCCATTTCTATGAGTATAATAACAATAGAATGTCATTTATGAATATTGATCAAAGTAGAGAATCTGCTTACCTAATTTAGTATGGTAATGAAAAGAGTGTGGTCAATATCGACGTTTTGAATTATATACGAAATAAAAAGATTATCGATCTGAAATTGTCGAAGTAAGAGCAACATGTAGAATCTTATTTGTTGTTAGTATTAAAAGTATAAAAATTTAAAAATAATTCCATTTAAAAACATATTTCTAATCTAATTTTCTGCTATAATATACTTCTTATATTTAAAAATAATATCGGAATAACACTGCTTAACATCGGGCAATGATAAATAAAAGTTTACCTTATAAATCTAGACTTGTTCGACAAGAAAAAATTCCGGTCGAAGTCAAAATAGTATTTACTACTTTTTATGAATAATCGCTACAGCAGATATCATTTAACCTTAAGTATTTTGATAATGTTTTATAGCTTTGTTTTTTCGCTTTCTTGTGAGGAAAAGAACGAAAAGTGAGTTTATATGTGCTTCGATTAGCCAGACAAAAGAAAAAATCAACATAAATTCATTTGTCCTTTTACAACACTTCTCAAAGAACAAAAACATGTACATTATTCTTTTATTGATAAAAAAATGCTACCGAACGATTTCTCAAAATGCCGTTCAGATAACAGGTAGATAATAAAAACATTGTATTACAATGTTGCAACTTCGTTTCATGTAAAGTGACTCACTCGAAGAATTCCCAACTAACTTCACAATGATAATTATTTGGTCAATACAAAATAAAACAAAGCTGCGTAATTTTAAATCTGATAATCGAACAAGATAAATCTATTGTTGTTAGCAAGTTGGAAATAGAAACAAAAGAAATCAGAACACTTTATCACTTTGATTTTTCCGTATTAGCCATCTACCTTTATCAATAGTTTCAGAAACCGAATTCTTTATTCATAGATTAGCCAAACATGATTTATTATGTGTTTTGTCTGCTGATATTAACTAAAAGAAAACTACAGAAAAACTATGGTATTTATATTTCAGCAAAATGTAGGGCTTGGAGAGGTCCTTCATCCTTTTTCTTACTTTTCATACGAAAGACTTAGAGAAACCTTCAAAAATATGTACTATGTTCATAATATATTATTTTGGTTTAAATTTTGCATCTCTTAGTAATTTTGTTAGATATTTTACTACTTTATAATTATACCTACTAATTGTTCATATTATTGGTCTCATGGACATTACAGAATATCGCGATCCAATACATCGTATCTAATTATATTCATTTCGTAGTCTTCAAGAGTTCGTTCAGTCGATAATCTAATTTACTTTCTATTTTTTTCACAATATACTTTATGTTATTTGCCATTTCTCTTTCATTTTTATCATTAATCTTCTTGAATGATGTTCCGAATGATAATAACTTAATGACTGATTAACTACTCGATATATACATATTAAGTTAAATTGATTATCAATGATTTAGCATTAGATTCATACCTTAATTCAATACAAAGTTAAAGATCTTTGAAAAAAATTGATTCTTCTTCTTACTTCTCTTGTAGAAATTTATGTTCTCTACATTCCATTATCTCCAAACTAATTCTAATATTATTCAAAGAAGTTATATAAATAAAACAGTAAGCAAATAATTTTTCTTTCATTTATTATCAATTTCAAATAGAATCTTGATATTGACTTCTTTTAAGTTTATTCATTTCCGATATAAGAAGAAAAACTTTCAAAATTATGATTACAACATTTTTTTTTCAATGACAATAAATGAACCAACTTAAAAGTAAACGGACCATGAATAAGAACATATTCTAATGATGTAATTCATAATCAATATGTAATAATGATTGTAACATATGACAATTTCTGATTTCTGCAATGTAATTATGAAATTAATTGGAAAAAAAATGAAAATATATTTACAAAAAAAAAAAACTATCAAAATGTATAAATAATTATTTGATAGTTGTTAATTGTCAGAAAAGTAAATGAACTCAATCTTATTTGTCAACGTTCAATCATATTTGATGATAATCATTACTTTAGTCTAATATGTAAATATTCATGTTGTTGTTTTTATTGTTTCTTGGCCTGTTGTTAATTGCCTATAACATATACACACACATCGTGAAACGATTCACTGAGCTGATCATTATATGATTATAGAGTAAAAGAAAGGAAAAGAGACAAAACGATTTGTTGGTCACACTTATTCTGACCGTGAAATAATGTTATATGTCCAATTGGTCTTATCTTTAATTCATCATGTGTACAGTTTGCTGATATCTTAATAGGACTCAATTGTCGAAAAGGAGAGAGAGAGAAAGAGGGCTGGCACTTTACTCAATGTCAATGGAATGCTATCTTTAACGTGTGTCGAGGGGCCTCATCATCACTTCTCACTCATACAGAGAAGAAGAAGAAGAAAAAAAATCAGATTATCGATAGCAAAAGAAAAAGAGAAAGTGTTTGTACAATTCATGAATGAGCAGGTGTATGATTCTATATATATATAGTTCTTGTAAGAAATCCAGTTGTGTATGACTTAATCAAGGCACCAGCTTGATCATTTGATGCGCTTCGTTACAATCAAATAAAATTGAACTATGTTCAAGTATCTTTCTCTTTTCTTTTCTTTTTTTTCTTCTTCTTATCGTTCAATATTTATATAATTGAGACGTAGAAAGAGAGATAGAGAGAGTCTCCACCTGTTGCTCAGCTAGAAAAAAAAGAGAATAAGAAGAAAAAAGTCATTTTTCTTTTCTTTAACTCTGATTTCCGTTCAAGAAAAGTAAGTACCCCACAGGAAGAATGTTGTGTAAACAGATTTTGTGCCTTTTGTTGTGATTTTTATCAGATTAAGAGATATTATCTTAAAATTGTTTATTACCACATGTCTTGTCGAGACACTTGTTTTTCAAGAGATGATCATTGTCATAAAATAAGATGAACAAGAGTTTAATTGAACTGATCAATTGATCGATATTTGATTAGAAGATTTAACCCTACGTCAAACGTCATTCATGGTCAATGAACACAATCAGTTTGTGTTTCTCTCTTATCTTTTCACAAATACCAAACAAGTGTTTCTCTATATATAGATATAGTTATATTACCAAGTCTGGAATCTTTCTTACTAAATGATGAATAAGATTAATGAGAGCGGTCTCTTTGCTCATGCGCATACGTATATATATCGAGTTATCTCTTTTCTTGTTATGAAAGGATTTGATATTCATTTTTAAAAGCATATGAGACAAGTAATAATGATCTATCAAATGCTTATTTTTTCTTGATCAATCAGTTATGTTACTTGAATGAACATGTTGTTGTCAAACTCTATTATCATTAACACACGTACATACTTGTTCTCTTTCTATTCTGTCCAAAATTTCTTTCTCCAATTGAATATCTTCTCTCCTCTCTTTCTCTCATGGTATGCAATCGTGATGGCACAGCCAATTAAGGTGCATTTAGCCTCGAGGATACCGCTACAGACCAGACACTGTTTGTGCTGTCCATCAAAACGTGTTAGATATATCATCAATATGATGTTATAGTGCCTTTCATTAGATATCTTTATTGAAAATAATGGGTCAAATTCCTTTTTTTTCTTTACCTTGACAAAATAGCTCGAATTAAGCGTGTAAATGATGTTGGTACTTGCTAAAAGGTCTTTTTTTCACCTAGTTATGTGTATATGTGTATATACAGTAGTCGGATTGTTTTATATAAATGGACGCATTTATATATCGAGTGAACTTTTTCTAATTAATCGGATATGTGTGGACCGACGAGTAAAAAAAAGAAAGGGAGCGAAAGGGGGAGAGAGAGACGGAGAAAAGAAATAGGTGATATCACAAAACTGAAACCAGATGGGAGACAGACAGAAAAGAGAGAAGGAAAAAGACGAGGGACATATCGAGCGCGTCATAAATTACGATTATGATTATGAGCTCATCATTATTCGACGAGACACTTGGTTGATAGCTAGGTGAATCTTCTTAGTCTAGTTTCATTCGAAGACTTTCTTAAAGGTAATCTTACAATTCTTTCTTTTTTTTTAAGTTTTTCCTATCATCATTTTTTTTCTTTTGCTGTCATATGATGTCATCACTTTCTTATCATTTTATGATGTATGCCCTTTTATTTTCAACTGTTTCCAATATTGACCTTTTTAGATACACGATTCTATCCAATAACGTTAAAAAATGTTGATACGATCAACGTTTCTTCTTTTGGTATTAATAACAACAATTTCAACGAATTCATTCATTGAAAATTGGAAGAATAAATTGAAAAAATTAAAAACAGAAACAAAAGATAAAGTTACTGGAAAAATACAAGAAAAATGTAAGTGTGAATTGAATAGATCTTTAAAGTCAATAATCAACTATAAATAATGTTTCATGTCGTGTGTATTCATTTTTATTTCTCTTTCATCTTGATCGTTAATCTAAAAGTATCGTCTCAATATATACATACATACATACATATGTGTATTGAAACAAAGATAGTCGATCTTGAGTTATACACGCGACAATCACGGTATGTCCTCTGTCCCGCGACAATGCATTTTCAAAGTCAATTATCGTTCATACAACGATGAGATGATGGTCAAAATATTTTATGTCTAGTATATATACATTAAGAGGACCAATATAATATATTACATATATACAGACACTTGTCTGAACAATTACATACGAAAGAGATCATCAGACACGCTTTTGTACCTTGATATAATACTAAATAATTTTAATGGATACTATTATTGTAATATATGATGAATAGAAATTATTCATTGAGTACTTTTTCATTTTTCACTGAAGTTAAAACAAAAAAAAGAAAAGGAAAGGAGACAATCCGATCATGTTTGTTATGTCTTGAAATTCGAATCGAATCGTTTAAATGAATAGTCTTGTTGAGTTATGAAATATATCATAAGGGAATGATGATGATGTCATCGAATCAATTCATAATTGTAACTGTTCTGATTAATGGACAGTATTAATTATCATACTTATCTTGTTGTTTTTTTTTAGCTCAATGTCCAATAGCTTGGCAATATTTTGCAGCATCTTGTTATTGGAAATTTCCTATAAAACGTTCATGGTCTGAAGCACGAAAAGAATGTGCTAGATTTCGAGCTGATCTTGTTGTTATTGATAGTGATAATGAATTTGATTATATTGCAAAAAATGTTACTGATTTAAGAGAAGATTTCTATGTTGGATTTCATTATTTTAATGGTAGGTTGAATTGTAATTATTCAAAAAAAAAGAAAACTAAAATTTAAAATATATATTAGAATCTTGGTCATGGATAAATGGTCGAGCTTTATCAGAATATACATATTATACAGAAGAAGATTTATGTGAAGATCGTTTACCAGTTGAACCACGTCATCGTTCATGTGGAATTCTTGATCGAGCTCGTCGAGGACGATTATGTATGAATGTTGATGTATGTGATAGAAAATTAAATTTTATTTGTGAAAAAGGTTTGATTATTAATAAATCGAAATTTCTTATTATTATTGTTATTTATTAGTTGTTGATCGATGTAGTTCATTAAATGATATATGTGGTAAACATGGTCGATGTGTGAATACAGATGATGGACAATTTCGTTGTGAATGTCATTTTCTTTTTAGTGGAAATCGATGTCGATCAAGTAAGAAGATTATGAATTTATTTATTTTTAAATATTCAATATAAAATTGTTTTTAGTGAGTCAAGAAGGTAGTCAAGTTATTATGGCTGCAATATTTGTTATTACTGCATGTATTGCACCAATATTTTTTCGATCAATATATAGAATGTTAAAAAGAAGATTAGATCGAACTTCACCAACCTATGGCAAACTTCATTGTATAAATAACAGGTTAGAATAGAAGAAAACTGATTAAAAATAATGTTTAAATATTGATGATTTCATCTTGAAGATAGATTATATAATAAAGCAATAGGATCTTTTTTTATTTAGTCTTTTCAGAGTGATGTAATGTTATGAGATTGATTTGTAATTTTTGAATGGCATAGTCAGTAATAGAAAAATCAAAAGAATAGCGATTTGTTTGCTCATATAGAAACATAGTTATGTAATGAATGATTTCTTATGGAAAAAAATTATTCGTCGAACTTCTAGTGTAGAGAAAATAATCGACGACAAACTGAAAATTCAGTAAACCTATCTTGACTACAGAAGAACTCTCTTAAATATCATCTGAACCATCTACCTCATTAGTGTTCATAGTCATCGATGTTATCGAGAAATTTATCATATTCATCAGATCAATACATTACTAGATGATAAAAATCTAAAGACAGTTTTTTCCTCTATGAACATGATACATGCAACATTAAAAAAAATGATGATTGCTTATCTTTCGTTCTTAAATTGAAAGCACATTTTTAATTCTTATTATCTTCTTTTAGTGACTATGGACTCCCGAAACATAAAATTGATCATCAGAAGAAACAAGAAAAGAATCTTGATAATTTCTTCAAATTAATTTCGAATATTCCATATTCAAATATATGTAATTCTTCAACATTTATAATTATATTCAGTACATTTTTAATAACAACATTTTGTTTATCAACAATTCCATTTGTTGAATATCGTCTTTCACTTTCATCGATATCAAATAATAGCAATATAACATTAACACAAAAATTAAATTCAACATTTCATCGTTTATATCAATGTCGACAATTTGATAATTATGTTTGGCAAAATTTTGTTTCATTACCATTAGCAATTCTTGTTACATTAATATGTTCATGTTTAAAAAAACGTGACACTTTTTGTTTACAATTTTGTCATGGACGACCATCATTACCAATGCCATTTAATTTATTTGATAAACGACAACGTCATGTTGTTGCAGCTATATTTGGAATATCAGCAAATGAAGTATTAAAAATTCTTGAAGAACTTCTAGTTCGTCTTAATACAAAACATATTGCAAATGATGAAGGAATTATTATTGAATTATTGAAAAGAATTGGAATTGTATTATTAATTGGAATGAGATATTTTCCATTATTAGTTAGGTAATTTTTCAAATATATAATTTATATTTTAAAATCAATGGTTATTTTTGTTTTTTGAATAGTGTGAATATTCCGCATCCAATTGCTTATGGTCTTGGATTGATATACACATTTATTGATGGTACATATACATTAATATATACAAGTTATTGTTCTCGTTTTTCATTATTTCGTTTTGGTCGAACATTACTTTTACAAACAACATCAAATGAATTAACACAATCAGATTTATTCTATGTTATATTCAGAAATTTACCACATTTTACTTTAATGTCATTTGTATTTGTTAAATTTTTATATTTATTAACTCAACAATTAAAATGTCAATGTTGTCAACAATCAACAATGATTTCAAATCATAATAAAAATGAAAAAAATCATCAAGTATCACTTGTTTCATCAACACTTTCAATAGATTTATTAAAACCTGATTATCAAACTAAACCAGACTTTTATTATACTGAAGGTAATACAAAACAAAACAATTTCATTTAATATATAAATAATAGAATTGAGAAACAGCTTAAGACTGACAAGAAGGTGCCATTGATAAACGCAAAATTTAAAGGCGATGATCCCCCCTAATAACGCCGAAAATATAAATATCAAAAACCTAAATGCTGCATAATTAGAAAAGTAGAAATGTTGAGAATGAAGAGGAAATAGAAGTAGAAACAAATTTCGCTCTCACCCATACCATTATATTTCCGCCTACACCCAGGGGCGTAGCGAGGTCTTCAAGGCAGGGGGGGGGGGGCGCAACACTCTTTTTGCTTAAATCTAACACTAAAAACCCATGTTTTTGATTTTATTGACCAAAAAAGAAATAAAAATTTTGCAAAGCAGGGGGGCCGTGACACCTCACGCGCCCCCTAGTCGCTACGCCCCTGCCCGCACCCTCATTTTTGTATTCGACATTTGTATGTTTCTATCAAAGTAGGGTTAACCTATTTGATTTCCATTGAGTATTGATATATAATTCTCATTGACACTGATATCTACATTTTATAACTGAAGATTTAAATTATTTTTTTTATAATAGGTTTATTAAAAAGTAAAGATCCATCAGATATGTATTACAATAATGTTTTAACTCGTCCATTTGCTAAAATCTATCGTTGGCATCGTTATTTTACATTTTCTACACAAATTCTTTGCACATATACTGTTGTGCTAATTGTTATTTATAATTTAACATGTTTATTAACATTCTATGGTATAAATTCAGTTAAAAGTCAACTTGATCGTATACATATACTTGTCTTACATCAATTAAATTGGGATATTGATTGGGGTACATCATTTGTTAATGATCTGTTTTTTTGTTCATTTCTTTCTGTTATTATTTATTGCTCACAAATATTCAATGGTTTAATTAAAATTCAACAACATATGATATCTGCCTATGCTGGAAAATATATTGATATACCACCACGTCATAATTTTTCAAATAATGAATTAATGTCAAAATGTTTACATTTTTCAGGTTATCTATGTGGTTATACAGCATGGGGTTTTATAATATTTTATAAAATTTCATTTATTATTTGTCTTTTACTTCGTTTATGGATACGATATGATTCAAGATGGTTTCAACATATATTAGCATTATGTTTACCAATAGTATTAATTTATTTATTAAAACATATTCTTATATCATTATTATCTGAATTTGTGTTTTTACAAAATTTTGGTCGAACACCATCATTAAATAATCGACGAATTTTCTTTATATTTAATTATTTTAATTTTTTTTTCGATTGTTTCCTTGGTATTTTATCATGTTTAATAAGAGTATCAAAAGCTATTTTAGCATCATTTTTATTTATGGGAAGATTAGATTATTCATTTATGGGAAGAAATTTAGAAAGATTAGATCAAGGTTATGCAACATATGTTACATTTATTCATATGGAAATTATTCATGGACATCCTATCTTAGGTAAGTTCTTGTGTCTGATTTAAATCTAATATATTGAGATAGAAGCTATACGAATCGGTCATTGAGTGATGACCGCAAATCGGTAGTCATTACTGTATTTTTTTTGGGCCATTCTAAAGCAGAGATGGGCAACTCCAGCTCCGGAGTTGACGCTGTTTTACTTGGAGTTGGAGTGGAGTTGGAGTTGACTTTGTAGACAACGGAGTTGGAGTTGGTGCTTTTTTCCAACCCCGATTCAACTCCGGCGGATCTCATGACGTGTAAGACAACAGCAAAAATATCCATCAGAAATGGGCAACTACAACTCCGGAATTGACGCTTTTTTATCTGGAGTTGGAGTGGAGCCTTAAAAAAATCGATGGAGTTGCTTACCCTCGGAGTTCCCAATCTCTGTTCTAAAGTTCAACATCGTAGAATTTCTATTCGATTAAATAAATTCGTTTTAATAAAACTTGATTCCTTATAGACATGACCCAAACTCACTAAACTCAAACAGTTTGAGTCATGTCTAATTCTTTATATCTGAGAAAATCACAAGAATTGATCTCGATATGTTCAAATTCTGATAATTATTATTTTTAGTAACATTTTGCGATATCATTTGGCATGATATTGAACGTAAACGTCGTACCACTCAATATACAAAAGGAAATAAATTAATATATGATAGTATTATGCATACAAAAGCTCGTTTAGCTCGATTTAAATGGCATCTTTTTTATACATTAATACGTAATGAATATTTAAAATTTTTACGTAAACATGCATTATCAAGTACAAAAAATGGTACAAATTTTATGTCTTCTACTACAACTGCAGCTGTTGTTTTAACAACAAATACTATTGATGAAAAACAAACTTATAATGAACAACAACAACATTCATCAATTTTATTATATGATTGTCCAATAATGAAACAACCTCCAATACCACCAAAACGATCCGGTTATCGATATAATTTTGATTATGAACAAACAAGTGATCTTCGTTTAATCTATCAACAATTAAAATGTTTAACAAATAATGTTGCTCAATTGAAAAATAATAATAATAATCGACAAGGAGAAGAAAATGAAGATATTTATTTATCACCAAATCGGCCATCAACAAAAAAACAATCACAAGTAACATGTACATTTCCTGATGAATATTCTTCAAATTCAAAATTTCATAATATGCCGACAATACAACGTCGATAGGACAGTGCTTTAAAAAAACAGTTGTTTTGTTTTTATTATTGTTTTTGTTGTATTTCTTAGTTTTTAAATAAAAAATAATTTTAGTTCGTAAGATTGACTTACATTGACATCTATACAAGAAATCTCAGATCGTTTTATCAAATCCACCATTCATATATGTACCTAATGACTAAATCAAAATGTCGACCTTGACTGATTCATCATCTATTACAGCAAGATGAATGATTGATCAACTGGGAAGAAAATACGAAAATTTATTTTTATTAAATATCCGTTGTTATTAATATATTTCTAATGAGTACAATGCAGCGTTCTTTAGTAACAAGCAGTAAAAAAACTCTTTCGACTTCTCAAACATCCTCATCAGATGAATCAAAAAATACAACAACAAAAATGGTCGATCCATTTGAAAAACGTCTTAATCATATACGTATTTATATTTTAAATAATAATAAAAAACAACGACATATTATACCACGTGAACCAACACTTGTTTTCGAGAAATTTCTTTATTTAGGTGGTTTAAAATCATTACAAGATAAAGTAAAAATTTTACTTTTTTTTTAATTAATTTTTATTCTTATTATAATAAGGATCGTCTTGATCATCTCAATATAACTCATATTCTATCAGTTGTTTGGATTCGACCAAGAATACCTATTCGTTCTCATATCAAGCATATGTTTATCAAAGCTGATGATACAATTTCATTCGATATGTCGCCACATTTCGAACAAGCATGTCAATTTATTGATGAAGCACGACAATTGAATAGTTGTGTACTGGTTCATTGTGCTTGTGGAGTATCACGATCAACAACAATGTGCTGTGCATATTTAATGAAATATCATTCCATGTCTGTTGAACAAGCAATGATTCATCTTCGTTCACGTCGTCATATTGTCCAACCAAATACTGCTTTTCTTCGTCAATTAATTCATTATAATGAACAAATCGAATGTGATAAAACAACAATGAATACAGTTCTTGAACAATCAGAGAATGTCTAATACATATCTTTTTTTTATTTGAATAATTATTATCATCTTTTTTTTAGTCAGATGATATATATATTTTTTTTATTTAAATGTTTTAGATAATTTTTGTTTATTTTTTATTCTTTTAAATAATGGCTTCTGCATCATCCGGTGATAATGATGAGAAAAAGAAATCATCAAGTAGTGGCGGTGTTCGATCTGGTTTTCTTGGAAAAACTGGTACAGATGAAGCACCATTAGATAAAACTTATTACAATATTCTTAATGTATCACCAACAGCAAGTGGATCGGAAATCAAAAAAGCATATTATTCACTATCATTACAATATCATCCTGATCGAACACAAAATCTTAATGATTTTACACGACGAGAATATGCTGAAAGATTTAAACTTATTTCTCAAGCTTACAGTATGATATAAAATAAATATTTATTCAATGAATTCGAGAATATTCTCGTTTGTTCTTTTTTATAGGTATTCTCAGTGATCCAGAAAAAAGAAAACTTTATAATAGGTATGAAGAAAAATTCTAATTAGATTATATCACAAGTTTTACATAATATATCTCAGTAATTTTGCTACTGACGTGATTCTTTAATTTTTTTTGTCGTTAATATGAGTAGTTATGTATTATGTTAATCAATATTTACTCAGTTATTGTTTAGACAGAAGCAGTATATTTCGAGAAGGATAGTAAAATAAATTTCTGTTTAGATATGGCAAAGATGAACGTCTTATAGCTAATGGTTCTGATGGAATAACATTAGAAGATTTTGATGCTGAAGAATTCTTTCGATTAATGTTTGGTGGTGAACAATTTACAAAGATAATTGGTGATTTTGAATTAGCTAAATCATTTAAACATGCTATTACTGAAGTTATAAAAGATGCTGAAACAAAAGGTACGGAAGAAACACGTGAACAAAAAGAAGAAAAAATGCGTAAACGTCTTGCATATGCTGAAGAACGTTCACAAGCACGTCAAGAACGTATTAAACAATTAGCACAAAATCTTACTTATAAATTATCAATTTTTACAGAATCATTGCCACCAAATAGTAGTGACGTACAGTATAAAGAAGCACTGAATAATTTTGCTCAAATAACATTATTAGACATTCCAAATTTATTAAGTGCACCGTATGGTGAACATTTATTACATGCAATCGGTTATATTTATGAGTCAAAAGCAAAATTATGGTTAAATAAATTAGATTCTCAAGAAGGTCATATTGGTAAACGTATGTTAGGATATGGTAAACATGTACAATCATCATGGAAAGAACGTGTACATGTTGTTAAAGAAACGGTAAAAACAGTTAAATGTGCTGTTGAATGGGGACAGTCAATGTCTAAATTAGCACAAATTGCTGATGACGAAGCAACAGCTAATGAAGATGGAAAAGATTCTCAGTATCCATTTCAGCATCATTCAGGACATTTAGAATATGCAGGATATGTTCCTCCTGAATCGACTGCATCAGCTTCAGCTTCGGCCTCGGCTTCGGCTTCAGCTTCCGAATCACCAAAACATTCGAATTTAAATTCAACATCAACAACAACAACAACAACTACATCCACTACTGTAAAACCTAGTCGTCATGGTAAATCTTCAGCACAACAAGTACCAGTACCGTTAACTGAAGAAGAAAAACGTAAACTTGAAGCTGATACAGCTGCTAAATCAATGGAAGCACTATGGCGTGCAACAAAACTTGAAATTGAAAGTGTTGAACGAGATGTTTGTGATCGAGTACTCAATGATTCGACATGTCATCGTGAAACTCGACGACATCGATGTATTGCTCTATTAAAAATGGGCGAATTATGGCAAGAAGCACGCGAAAGACGACCACCAACTTCTGATTCATTATAGATCTTTAAATTTCCTGTGCCTTTTCTTTTCCTATATAATCCAGTTATTTATTTTTTTCTCGTGTGTATGTTTTCTTTTTTTTTCATTACAATGTATGTGTGTCGAAAAAATAACTCAACGTTTCATTCGCCGTTTTTTCTTTCTTTCTTTCATTCTTTTTTTTTGTATTCAAAATCAAACACACTAAAGAAAAATGTTTTGTTTCCAAACCCTACAATATTTTACTTCATTAAGAACAAAAAACAATATTAACAAAAAAAAAAAGTTTTTTTTCTTCAATCTTATTTTATTTATGTTTTCATTAGGTAAAATAATGAATTAGCAAATGAATAAATTTTTTTTTCCTATCGTAAGTGATAGTGATTAGATATATCAGTGTAATTTATTGATTATATTATTTATAGAAACTAACTCAACCATATTCTATTTTGATTGATTTATGCTTTGTATTCGACTAATTGAGTCAGTGTTTGATCACGTATTGTTTAGTCTGGTAATTATAGGAAATCAAGCTGATATAATGAAAAACACTTGAATATTATGTTTCATGTATGAATGACATGTTTTATTTGTACAAGAAATAATTATCTTGTTATGAACTAAGAATTTCTCGTCAAATCATAATGAAATAAGTGAAACTGACAGGTCATCATATAATAATGAGAAAAAAAAATACAAGCCACACTACATGAACTATTACCAACTAAATTTAGATTATGAATAAGATCTAGGCATGCACTAATACAGCTTAAGTTATTTTTAACCAAGTATAAAAAAATCCTCTTATAATTTAAATCATGAAAAACAATATTTTCTTTATCTAGGGATGCGCAGTTTCAGTAAACTGTGCACCGTCAGCATCGACAGTGACGCACCGTAGCACTGGCAACACTGACAGTGCGCTCAGTGATGCAGTGGAATCACCCGGATACCGATGAATACCGACGGTGTCAGTGTTGTAAGTGCTACGGTGCGTCACTGTCAGGGCTGAAAGTGACAGTTTTTCAGTATTTGCACTGAAACTGCGCATCCCTAAGTCTTCATCTACAAAATACCAAACACGAAAGTTTCGTAATGTTGTGCTAAAATTGACTAAAAAATTCAAACCGAATTAGTTTAGATTTGATGAATAATTTCATTTCTTTTTCGATTTTATTTCTAACAAAAACAAAAACAAAAACAAGAATTTATCAAACATCGATATGATGATATTGTTGAAATGCTTTATTATTATTTAATCGAAGTAAATATCCAAGTTGTCGTCCCGGACCACATTCATATGTATTTGGATATGTTTCATGTTTATCTCGTTGATACATTTTATGAATTGATTGTTCCCAAAAGACACTTTTTGTTAATTGTTGACTCAGTAATCGTTTAATTGTTGAAATATCATTTGTATGACGTTTACCAGTTACATTTGACATAACTTGAATAAGTGGTGGTTGCATATCAATTTTGTCTAATACTTTTATTAATTTTAATTTTGCTGATGACATTAATGGTGTATGAAAAGCACCACTTACAGGCAAATATTTTATTCGACGTATACCAAATACTTTATAATTATGTGCAATAAATTGTAAAGCCTAATTAAAATATATATATCAAAAAATATTCCGATAAGAAAAAAGACACAAAAGAAATAAACCTCTTTATGGCCAGCAAGTACTTTACATTCAGCATACATATGATTAGCAATTTGTATACATGGTACATCAATTTTAATATATTTATTACACCATTCTCGTGCTGCTTCAATAGCTAATGTTAATTTTGTATCACGACCAATAAAAACAGTCATCATTCCACTATTAACTTCATTTGATGCTGCTTGCATTGCTTCAGCACGTACTTTTATTAATCGAAGACCATCTTCATATGTCATACAACCTGCAAAAACAAGTGCTGTAATTTCACCAACACTAAAACCACTTGTTACTACACAATTTTCAACTGCCTAAAATAAAATATATAGAACAAAAATTTCTTAATATTACTTTTTTTTTATACTTTTTGATTTTCAGTCTTTAATTTTTGTACAGCAGCTAATGATGTAACATAAATAGCAGGTTGAGCATACAAAGTTTGATTAAGATCTTCAATTGGTCCATTTATACATTTAGAATAAAGATCATAACCAAGTATTCGATTTGCTATATTAAACATTTCTTTTACATTTGGATAGTTGATTACTTGTTGTCTAGATAATAAAAGAAATTTCTCTTTTTATTTTTTGGATAAATAAATAATCTTACCCCATACCAATAAATTGTGTACCTTGACCAGGAAACAGAATAATACTTGTTGTACTTGGATCTATAAATGGTTTTGAAGGTTTTTCTTCATCAAATTCTTTTTCCTTTAAAACTTCAGTCTCCTCATCGATAAATGAATTTGATTCTTCACGAGGTTTTTCGGATTGTTGTTCAAGTCGTTGTAATTCAAGACGAGCAAATTGTTCTTGTATTGACATTTGATTTGTATTATCATCATCTGCAAATGAACTTTTATCCATAGATGTAAATGGTGATGGTGGTGGCGGTGATGGAACGGAATCATTTGGACGACGTATCCCTCGAGCCAAAAGAAATTTTGATCGATGTAAACATCGAACATGTTGAGATAATAAAAAAGAACACGAATAAAATTTCAATAAGACCATTCTGGAAGCAAAAATCTATTTGACTCTAAAGAAAATTTTCTTTTCTATCGAATAATTTTTTTGTGATGAAAATATTTATTTTATTACAATTGAAACAAATACAAATCAAGCATTACACTGTTTAAAAAAAGGGAAAAAGATGTATCTGACTAAAAAAATTAAAAGAAAAAGAAGAATTTCAAAGATTTTCAATTTTAATATGAACAAATAATGTTCCACGGATATAATCACCATCTTTTGCTTTTAATTTAATATGTCTATAACCTAATTGAAGTGCTGTAAATGGAAAACAGGCTTGTCCAACAAATGCTGAACGATGATAATGATCATCATCACGTACTTCAAATTTAACCAAACATAATTCTGGACAATAAACATCGATATGAAATTTACAATCCCATATTGGATTAAGACCATTATTACGTATACATGGTGTATGTTGTTGTGTATAATCACATTCAATACCATATGTATTTATTTCTATATAAGGATCAACAATATCTGAATCATCATTGGAATTTTTCTCTTTGGCTAAATGTTGTCCACTGATTATATGAATAATTAATCGTTTTCCTCGTTTATGAACTATTTCTTTCGGATCAAATAATAAATTATTCGATAATAAACAAGGCGGTTTAAGAAGATAACCACATCCTCCATTATCACTAAAAAATCCATCTTGAAGACACATTGAATCATCATTTGCTTGATAATTTAGCGCAGCCATTTGTACACCTATAAGAAAACTAGATAATCTATTAAGATTAGACGAATAATATTCATACCATAAGTCCAATAAGTAACTGGATTTATATTACTTGAATTTTGTCGTATCGTCCCTGGATAAACACGTACTAGATGTTTATTTGTTAATTTAATTAAATCTAAATGTTCAGGTGGTTCAGCTTTAATTAAATCATCTGCTTTCGATTCTTTGAATGATATTGAATGAAAACATTTTTCTAAAACAGAACGGATGATCAATTAATCTTTAGGGGAAAAAAGTCATACGTGTCGACATTGTATGATTAATATTAGTATATGAAACAATTTGAGCGTAGATAATTAATTTAGCAAAATCAGGATGATAATTCTAAAAATAGATTAAATAAATAATAGATTAACAAGAAAGAATTGTTAATCAATACTTTAGGATTTGGTTCAGTTTCATCATTACTTCGGCTAGATTTTGGATCAGCTGGAATTTTTCCTTTGGGATATCGTCGACTCTATTTTTAATGAAAATTAATTATTAAACAAGAAAAAGTAATGAATAACATTACTCGAATAATGACTTTATATTTAAGATCTTCTGGTGATGGTAAGACTTGAGAATCGTTCATTAATGGTTCTGTTAAGAGATGATCTGTTTTACGAAAGAAATTAAATATAAATCGAAGGAAAAGATAATTTTCAGTTTTACCTTTAAAAATATTTTTTAAAAGACGTGCCATAACACCTTGTTGTTCATATGAACAATGATTTTCGATATTTAAAAAAAGTGGATATCTAATAGAACGAAAATCTGTTAAAATCTACTGAATTAAAATCGAATAATCTTTACGGTGAAGCAGCAAATGCTTGTGTTTGAATAGCAAGAAGAATTTCTCTTAATGTAATTGGTTTTGTTAATGTTTTAGCATGATAAACAATTGGTTCCATGTCATCACCATCATAACAATCCACTTGAGTTCAAAAGAAATTAAATTAAAAATTTATTAAAAAAAATTACTTTCAACAGCTCGACAACCAGTTCTTAATGCATGAATGAATGTTTCCGGTGTGCAGTTACCATAAACTTGACTATCACGAATATAACTAATTAAATAAAAATAAAAATCAATTTTTTTAAAATTAAAGATTTGACTAGAATGAAATCTGATGACTATATGGTAAATCTTGTGATTATAAGTATCAAAAGTTCGAAAACAGTTATCTACTAGATAGATATTAAGATATTGATATCAACAAATCAATAAGTTTGTTTTTTATTTTCGTTTTCATGCATATCTGCTCTTATTTTTACGCTCAAATTTATCGAATCAATAAACATATACTAATTTATATAGTTACGTGTTATGTGATGTAGCAATAAAGTAATCAGTAATTGGTCGTGTCATATCATGATAAACTCGTCGAGATTTATCTGGATTCATAAGACAAAATTCATCATGAAGTAAAAATAATCGAAGACCATCAACGCCTAATTCTTCGTATTTATGTCCTTCGGATGATGGTTCAAATCTTGCAATTAATTTTGAACAATCATCAATCGTTATTCCTTTCATATGTTCTTCATTCTGTAAGAAATTTTTAAATTGTTCAATAGTTAAATAATTTTTTTTATCTTTCGTATTCGATGACGACGACGAAAAATTATTATCTGATGCAATTGTTAATGGTTTTTCTGGTTGTGGAGAAATATTTTTCGTTTTCATTTTCCAACAAGTTATCGAAGCTATATCAACAGGATATTCAAGTGGATTTGAATGTGGCATTTTAGATAGAATGGAATATTTAAATAATGTATCTGCTATTTGTTCAGGAGTACTACCATTATATCTAAAGTAATACAATCAATGAATTATATTTATTGATACTAATCGAAACATTTTAAACTTACTGACAAATAATTTTAAGTAATTCTGGTCGATGTGAAACAAATTTATAAAATAATAAAAATTCATCTTTATCTAAATTTCTTAATTCTTCATAATTTGATGTACGAATATTTGATTGATTAAAATATTGATCAATTTCTCTTTCATCTAATTCAATATTTAATAATCTTAAAAGTTGATGAACTTCACGACGATTTAATTGTCCTGATTGATCACGATCAGCTTGAGAAAATAACGACCATAACCATCGATCCGTTATTTCATGATGTGTACGTACATGAGAACGATAACGTTCTATTAAATATTCTAAACCTTGAATCCATTGCAAACAAATATTTTCCGAATCAGCAAGTAAATCAAGCGAATGTCGATTATTATCATAAAGAATCGAAAAAGCTAAATGTGCTTTATCACGTGTAATTTTTCTTTTATCTATATATTTTTTCCAAACCGCAGTAGTAAAACCACGACGTATTTGATCAATATCTTTTATTTTACCTAAATAATAAAAAAGTATCTTTATAGTTTTTTTTTCTTCATCGAAATAATTGCTTACATGCTTCATGTTTAGATTTACGTTTTGAACCTTGATAATGAATAGCATCTTCAGATAAATTAACATAATAGATTCGTGAATATGTATGACCATTTGATTTATATTTAATAAATGTTACACGTCGTTTAAGTTGATCAATAACATTTGTTTTTTGTATTTCACTTAAACTAGTTGAATCTGTCGTCATTAATCTAAAAAATTCAAAAAAAGATATTCAATATTTTCAATAGACGTGATTTATCAGACCTTTCCCATTGTATGTCATTCATATTTGTGTAAAGAAAAAAGGTAAATGTTGTACACTGGTTCTCTTTTTTTTATATTTATTAGTAAATGAAGCAAAATGTGTGTAATTTCTTTTTATATCATAAAAAAATAACAATATGAAGCAAGACTGATAAACAAGAATAAGCAAAGAAACGAAAAAAAAATATATAAGTAACAGGTATATGATTAATAAGTTTTTTATCATGAAAACGCAAAAAATAGTAATATATTATTTACACCTTACATTTCGTTTTGATGAGTATTTTTCTGCCAGAACTCAATTACACCACCGTTTTTTCTACCAACTACTGGATCCATTCGTGGCACTTGTACCTATTAATTAGAAATGTATGGCCTTGCAATTAAGTATGTAAAGAAAAATAAATACATGATTTTTAATGGCATCATATTATTGACATAAGAAATAGTACATAGAAAATGAATACAGCTCAATGAATTGGAAGTAAAGTAATGCAAAACATCTGTTACATTTAACGACGTGTATTAAATGTATTTTACTATCAGACGTCATTGATAATTGCATATTTTTGACGAAAGACTGCTCTCATAAGAGTACTAAATCGATTTTATTTTGAAGTTTATCCATAATGTAAGTTTCAGTATAATATGAAAAGTTTTTTTAGTAACAGAACAATACTATACTAGAAATGACCTTTGTATTTTTATAAAACATCGAAGAACCTTGAGTGTATGCTATACAATAAAACTGTCATAATTTTAACGAGGAAATAAAACAATGCTTACCTTTTATTATGTTCTTATAGTTCGAACTTAACCCTTTCAGGACGGTGGTACTACCTACCTGGAGGGGGATCCATGCTTTAAAAAAAAAAAATTTTTTTCTAAGTCGCGGTCAAAAAGATAGTTTAAGAATAATACACTAATCATGAAAAAGATAAAAGCAAAACTAGTCCTGAAAGGGTTAAAAGGACTTCTTTGATACTAAATCTACGAAAATTATTATAGGAATCAAAACGCATGTATATCTTCTCGAAATATTTATTTAAACAGAAATAGTTCGAAAAATGAGTATACATTTTAATGAAAAATTTCAAAATAATAACTGTGACGACTTTATTCCAATCAGGGGAAAAGAACAATGAGAGAGAATATGCTCTCCAAAGCCCTTATATACTCATATATATATATATATATGACTCAAGAATCTCAATCATATACACATGAGTCAGTAATTCCTTGACTCATGAGATATCACGGCAAGTGCCGTGACAAAAATTATACGTGTTTTATCTGACTAACTTACTCTTTAAAAGTTATTGAACTGATTAAATAATAATCATAATAAAATATTTTTCTTTATTTGCTGTTCTATTGAAGAAATCTCAAGAACTTCAATTGACGCTCTCCAACTGGTGTGCTTCTTTATTTATCAATTCAAAAGAACAACAGAATAAGAATTATTTAGTGATACCTTGAAAATATATATGCAAGCTGTTATAACTTTCAACATATTCTTTAAAGTGTTATGAGAATTTGTTGTTTTAAGACAAAGAGTTATGAATTTCTATGCTCTAAATGTAAATAGCAGACTTGATTTTATATCTAATGTGACTAGAATTATTTTCTGGGTATAACTAATAAATGTAATCGATATATTACCTTTTTCATATTTTCTTCTGCTTTACGTCTTTCTTCTGCATCTTTTCCATAATTCATATCATAACTTTTTCCATCTAAATCATACGCGCCAACAACACCAAATTCTGAATCTTGTCCCATATTTTTATGTGCTACACCAGTTGGAATTAGAATACAATCACCAGCATTTAATTCAATATCTTTACGTACTTGTTCGTTATCTCCACCTAATCGTACTTGTGCATGGCCACCATAACAGCCAAGTGCTTCATGTGCAGTTGAATGATAATGATGATAAGTAAATATTCCATCTCTCCATGATTTACCAAAATTATTCTCTTGAAATAATTGTTCCCATTTGGATGCTGATACAGATTTTGTATCAAATACTTGACGATAGACAATAACGGGTAGTTGATTATTATTCGGAAAAAATTGTTCATCATCACGTACAAAAAAATTTTCGATTTTAATATCATTCATTTTTATTGTTGAATAACAACGTAAATAAAATATAGGTGATATTATCTGAAGTAGAACTAGAGATAAAGATTTCATCTTAAAACAAACAAAAAAAAGAACGATAAATTCAATCGTTTTTTTCTCTATAGATTTTTAACCTAAAAAGATAAAATATCAAACACGTGTGAAGTTAAATTCATATTTATCTAAATGTCTGCAAAAACACATCAAACAAAATTTTATTTATATTTTTTAACGGATTTCAACATCAAATTGTTTTTGACAATGATTTTCAATATCTTTATGTATCATATTGATTTCATTTTTTGTTAATGTTCGATCCATAGAACGATAAATAATACGATAAGTTTGAGAATGTTTGTCTTTCTTCTCATGATAAAATTCATCAATTAATAGAACTTGTTCAATTAAATCACCTCCAATAGATCGTACTAAATCATATAAATCTAATGGATCAATTCTTGTTTTATTCATCCACATAGATAAATCATTAATACATTGTGGATATGCACTAACTGGTTTATATTGAACAGGACGTGTCGAATCTTCAAATTGAAATTGTGATAGAAAACCTGAATCAGTCGACCAAAATAAACGAATATCTGGAATACCATACATAATCATTGCAATACGTTCTAAACCAAGACCAAATGCCCAACCAATATAATCTTTACCTAAACCACTATTTTCTAAGACACTTTGTTCAATAATACCACAACCAAGTAATTCATACCATTTCCCATCGATTTCTATTTCATATTCCCATGATGGATGCGTAAATGGAAAAGTAGCATCAATCCATCGAGAATTTAATGTTGATGCATTGGGAAAAAGTGTTTTAAATAGATCAGTTATAGTTTGTTTAAGAGATGCTTCAACTAATTTAACTGCTTCAAGTGTATGTCCTTCTTGTTTCGTAGCATCACGATATTCTAAAATAAATATAATTAAGAATCTTCTAGAAATACTTTGAATTGATAGCGCTTTTGTAATGTTTATATGATCATACGAAGCTAAAGATCATCACAGAGCAGAATGTGCAGTTGGGAGCTGCGAATCGACCCAGGCCCAGCTGGGTCCCGAGTCTGAGTTGGGTACCGGTCTAATAAATTCTTTTTTTCCTCGGGCCTGAGTCGGGTCCCGGTCCAAAAAACCCTGGATCCGCAGCTTTATATTGCACACAGAGAGTGCTATATATTGGTAAAAGAATCCGGGTATACACCCGATCGGGTTCCGGTCTGGACTCGACCGGATTCGATCCAAAACATCGTGGACCCACAACTCTCTAATTTGCAGTTATTCTTATTCGAAAGCTAAGGATCTCGAAAGATGCGCATCTTCCGTACACTCCATTTATTTATTTTAACTTTATAAATAATTCTTAGCTATGTTGTTATCTTACCATTTGGTGCAAAAATCTGTAAATTATCTTTTTCTCCACGAACATTTCTATTTTCCATAAATAATTCTTCTTTATTAAATAATTGTACGCCTTCACATTGATGAAAAATAGGATAATGTGTTGGATCAATACTATCTCTTCGATATACATCTCCAATACATAGAAATGCATTTAAACCTGAACGTATTAAATCAACTTGATGAGCTGATGTATGTGCTCGAAAAAGTGTATCTTTATTAATATAATAATTCATTGATTTTGTTCGACTAACATGATCATTTGGTGTACAAATTGAATCAAAATTTTGTTGAACAGTTACAATTGGTGAAAGATTATCTATGATAGAAAATTTTGGTGATTGTTTTCTTGGATCTTTTTGTTGATAAAAATATTGACGAATACGATTTGTTAAATGATAAAGTGGATGATTTTTTTGTCGATGTAAATTTTGACCTAGACGTGAGAGAATATGTGGATTAACATTTGTCCAAGAATCAGTTGGATAATTTTTATTATTAATAAGTAATTCCGGTGGATAGATTATAGTTTGTTTTATTGGATCATATTCTAAATTAAATGTATTCGATTTTTTTTGAGCTTTTACTGTATTTGTACGATAATGATATCGAAATGTTGATTGAATAAGTAAACGATTGAGAATTCTCATCTAGAAAATATAAAGATTGAAAAGTATTTGAAACAAAAAAAATAAGGAAACGAGTGTTGGGGTTTTATGAAAAGACATATTAAATAGACTTTTTACGTTTATGCGAAGAATTTGTTGAACTTTTATTATTAACATCTTTAGATGCTGGTTCTTGAATTTCTTCGGTAGGTGAATCTGATTCTTGTTTTTTATTTGGTTTGTCGGTAAGTAATTTTGATGGAACAATTAAAATAATTGAACGAGTACCTTTAGAGTTTGTATGTACTTTAGGAAATTCTTCAAGATATGGTTTGAGTCGTGCGAGAAATTCTTTCTGATCACTGGTACGTCGAGCCTGAAAGATAAAACAATAATATAAAAAAATATTTAATGGGAAATTTAGATTTCAAACGAATATCTATATTTTCGCTTAGACTGATAATTTGAAATCTCGAAAAAATTGTTATATGTTTGTAACCTATACATATACGTTCGTATGTTGATGAAAGAAAAAGAGAGGTACGCTTCTTTTGATTTTTATTATTACATTTTGCCTTTTTAAATTATATAACAGTATAGACGTTGAAAAGTAACGTTACAGTTGTAATAACCTTACACACGAACTAATTGAAAGAGATGTATCATATATATATGAACACAACACACTATTAGCAAGAGACGTTCGTTTTAGAATATGTAATATTGTCATATTTTTTTTCATTTAGGTGATGGAGAAAGATGTTATCCTCTTGTACGCAATGGTCTCTAGTGTGATTCGAAATAACTGTAACCTCCTTTCGATGGCATTCCTTTGGCTATTAAAGCTAACTATCTCCGTAAAAAGATATTTTCTTGATAACGCCAAAACTCATATTGTATCTACAAGTAGACAAAAACTTTGCTCGAAAACAGTTTTGACCAAGATCTCTCTTATAGATATGACCGATAAACATTCCTTTATCAGTAGTAAAAGAAGCAGCTCTTTTTGGTCAAAACATGGCAGATATATTCAATATTTTCAGCACTGAAGGAGCTTTTGAATCACTTTAGTGTGACTCATCATCGTCACGATTGTATTACAAACTCCTCAGAAAGGTCTCCTGTTATTGAAATGTTTACGACTATTCGTAATTCTTAGATAGGCTAAGAATATATTGAAAACGTTCATGATCATGATTCTGATTACTCAAAATAGATTACCTATGATTTATTTCGACTTATTATAGGCAATGCAACTGATGCAACATACGTCTTATTTTTCTCATCAAAACGAAAATTACAAATGACATCACTTACCAATTTTTCCGTTTCTTTTTCATCAATAGCATATCCAAAATCTAATGAAAATCGAATACTAGATCCTTTTGAATAAGCTGCTTTCGCTTGTCCTAATTTTGTTAATAAATCTTTTTCTGCAATATTTGATCGAAGTCGTACAACAAAATCAGTAATTTTATCATTTGCTAAATCTTGTTTTTTATTTGCACGTGTATTATCACGTATTTGTGCTAATTGTTTTCCTGTCATTAATCGAACATCAGGTGGATCATGTGATTCATCAAACAGTACAAGTATAAGTTCACGAAATTTAGCTAATTTTTGCGCTTCAATTAATGGCATTTGACCAAGTGATTGTTTATTTTCATCGTCAAATAAATTCACTTCCAAATGTTGATTACCTCGTGTAACACTAATTAAAATAAACTAAAAAAAATTATCATTTATTCTACGAAGAAAATTATCCTAATGATTCCGAAGTATTCATAATTATCCTCACAGCAAGACATTTTCGAAAAAAACTTCAAAATTTATTTATAGATAATATTTCATGTAAGAATTCTATAGTGTAAGTTTTCGAACATATCTTGCTATGAGCAAGCGAATCATTCTCTGATGTGAATATTTTTCTAGATGTTTAAACCATTTCTATTGTATCTTTTGGCTGTAATCAAAGCATTATCATAGACTGTTACTTTCAAGACATCGAGTTTCTACTGAAACATGACTCAGTAAATTCGAACATATACAAAACTTTGGCTACAGCCTTTATGTCAAATATTACAATATCTACGGAATAGCCCTTAGAAACACTTTCGTATCGCAAATAGATCTAGCTTAAACATCTAAAAAAATAATTACTTGATGAAATCGAAACTTCGGAATCAATTACGATAGTTTTCTTTTTAATCATTATATATATATATATATATATTATTCATACTCGAGCCGAGTCGGTACAAGAATTTTCTTTTTGGAGTAATATTGTGATAGAAAACGTGTAGAAATAATTAGTTGATTTGTTAAAAATCGTCTTAACATTCTGATCTTGAAATATACAACAAGAAAAAGCAAAAATAGAGAAGAATTTATTTTTCAATGTCTATTTCTTGTTTAAAGTTCGTAACAAAAATAGATACAAGACAAAAAAAGAAAAATTTATTATCCTTGTAATGCTGATAATAATTGTTGTTTAATTTCGGGAGAAAAAGATTGATTTGATTCATTCCTAAAACAAAAAGCAAAAAAGAAGTAAATATAAGTATTATTTTGTTTTAAAATATAGCAAAATGAATATTTTCATACGGAGTATTTTGAAGAAAAACAGAAAGAAGATTTTTCGTTGATTTCGGTAAGAATTTATTGACATCGACAAGTGTACGAAATGCTTTATCACGTTGATTTATCGCACGACGTTGACGTCCTGTTTGTTCATCCTAAAGATTAAAATATTTTGTATATATAATTAAACGAATATCGAAAATCTTTACTTTAACAAAACCTAATGATACAAGTAAACGTTCATTAAAAGTACGTTCACTATCCGATGTAAATGTTAATGCTTTTAAAGTATTTGCTAAAAGAAGAAATCAATATGATATATATTTATTGATCTAGAAATATGAACTTACAAGCAATTGAAGATGTATCATTTTGTAATACAGAATTATCGTTCCACATATCTTCAAGTAATTTAACAGCACGGTCAACTGATTGATCATCATTCTGAAAAATTATTCGAAAATTTTCGTATATTTATATTGAAGATTGATTATACAAACTTTTAAATGTTCTTTAACTTTATCAAGATTAGTAAATGTTGTCCATTTGTTTCCTGTTGCCTATGAAAAGTTAAAAAAAATAAGACAAATCGAAATAAAAATAATTAAAAATTACTTCAGTAGTTAATTGTGAACCGAAACTAAATGGTGTACAAACATTGAAGTTAGCTATCATACTTGAAAGGTCATTAATAGATTCTGGTTGAGCTGGAGGAGTTGTTTTATTAGTACCAAGTTGAAAATTATTCCATGCATTTTGTTGTATTGGATTTTTACCAAAAAAGAATGATGGTGATTCAACATCTTCTTCTTCTTCGCCTTCTTCATCTTCATAATCCTCATCGTTTTCTTCTTCTTCATCATATTCTTCATCTTCATAATTTTCATCTCCTTCCTCTCCTTCTTCTTCTTCGTCGTCTTCACTACCTTCATCATCACTAAAATAGAAATTATAAATCATATAGAATTGATTTTTTTATATCAATCACTCGTGAGTGTAAGCTTCATGTTTCTACCTGTTGGATCCTATATCTTTTATTCAAGAATCACTCCACTGTATATATACGACTATAAAACCACAAGTAACGCTCGTCCGAGAACTCGCTTAGCTCCTTCTCATAGAAATGTATTCTCTTCACACTCACCGGGAAAAATCGGTCTTCGATGGTTTTTTGGCCTCTCATCTCCCCCCCCTCCCCGTCCACCATGGTCACCCAACAAACGGTAGATTCGAAGTTCCCACATCAAAATACTTTAAGAAATGTTTTTTTGACCATGCGGACACACAATCAGGCAATTTATATTTACTGGACTCTTCTCTACGAGAAAGAGAGAAAATAGTACTGCAGAAATCAACAAGGTATGGTATTATCTGAATATATTTTTGTATGAAATTATTCTATTACCTGAATACCATTTGATTTGCAAAACTTTTATTTTCAAGTGTACGACGAATTTCGTCAATTCCATCTTGACCAAAACAATTACCTAAAACAGAATATTTTTATTTTTAAAACTTTTTCGAAAATAAATTCTAACCATTTAAATCTAATATTCTTAATGATGACATATTTTTTACAACATGTGCTATTTCCATACCACCTTCCGTATGCATATCATTACATCCAAGATATAATTCCTAAAAGAATTATTTTTTATTTGTTTTAAAAGTGTAAAAATTTTTTAGTATGAAATTACTTGAAGATTTTTATGTGACATAATCGAACGAGCAATAGCCATTGTACCTGGTGTACGGATAAGTGATGATTCAAGATTAATTATTTCTAATTTTGGTAATTTTTCAATAGATGATGCTAATTTAGGTGTTGCTAATGTTATTGTATTATCATTAAGATCAATAATACGTAAATTTTGATTTTGTACAAATGCACTTGCTAATGCTTCAATTCCAGGTGGTCGAATACCATTTTGTGGTACACGTACAACTTCTAATGTTCCAATTAATTCAAATGCTTTTGCTAATGCTTGTGCACCTTCATTTTCAAGTCGATTTCGACCAGCAACAAATTGTTTTAAAGCAAATTTACCACCACTATTCTTATGACATGCAATTAATGCTTCAGCTAATAACTAAATAAAATAAAATTGAATTTAAATTTTTATTGAAAAATAAAATAAGAATTTTAACATACTTTTCCACCACCAATACCCATACCACAATTATTAAGACGAAGTTCTTCGAGTGTATAACATGCAGATGATGAAAGAAATGTTTCAAGACCTTTAACACCAATTGGACCAAAAGCATTATCACTTAAATTAATTTCAACAATATGACAACCATTAGTTATTAAACCTTGAGTTAATTTAATCTATTAAACACAAATAAGAAAATAAATATATATTTTTTCTTTTAATAAATTTAATCTTACTAATGATGGTGGAACTTCTGTTTTAAGACGAGTAGTAAATAAATCATTCCAAATTAAACGCTTAAATTAAGATAAAAAAAAATTAGTAAATTAATGAACAAAAAATAATATATAAAAGAATTACCTCGATTTCACTATGTGCTTCTAATGCTACACCAATAGCTGTTGCTGCTTCTTCATTAATTGTATTACCTTCAAGACGTAAGGCAACTAGATGTTTACATTGTTCGATTTCTTCACATAATTCTTTAACTATAAAAAACGAAAAATTGATTTAAATTGAATTTGATAATAGAATAAAGATTACCATCATTAGCATTATTTGCTTTTAAACCTCGATTTGCCCAAGATAATTCATATTCAGTTGATTTAAGACTTTTTGAAAGATTATCGGTCATGATTAATTATTAGTAAGATGAGTTAAAAGCTGAAAATTGAATATTCTTTTATGTAATGGGTGCAATTTCTTTGTTTTTTACGATAGAATATAAAAACCAATAGGAGTATTTTTATGAGTCGAGAGATGTCGCTTTTGTACAATAGAATTCTTTTTATCTTTTTATAGATTCATATGTTCTTCGTACGAACTATAGGTTCTCCATAAAATAAAATGTAATGGTCAATATAATTGTATAATCAAAGATGCATTTATATTAATTTTCCTTCTATTTCATTTCAATATAAGTAAAATTTACATACAAATAAATATCTTATTCTGTTTTAATCTTTAATCTATATTGATAGTTATAGAAATCCATCGATTCTGTTGTATTTGTAACACTATTAATATTATAGGATGAGTTTAGATAGATAAGTTCCAATACTATCTTGAAACATACAGATAATCATTTGGTTAATTATGTTGAGATGACAGATGTCACAAGAATAAACTTTCGTTTTGTGCTAATCGATATGATTACAAATGAATATGTCAAAGAAATACTGTTAGCTGATGTATAATCTAATATACGCTCTTTCTGAAATTAATAGTTCGTGTTTTTACCATATGCGAATCCGTACAATGATATCTTTACGATTTTTCAACATTCATACAAAAAGTTCATAATTATTTAAAGAATATTTGTGATATTGGCATTTTTCTAAATGATTGTTTTCAGATGTATACATTGCGTACTGATTCAGTGATTCGAATCATTATTCATATATAAAACTTACAGAAGAGAAAAGCTGATGAAATGTAAGCGTGGCTGAATAAACAAGGAAAAGATGATGAAAGATTAGAATATATTAAAAAGTCTTGCTTTTCAATAATCATTCGTATCTAAAAGAATTTCTTTTCTCATCGACACAGGTAAAGAATTAAAAATATTTTCTATGAATTATTTTTGAATATTAAACTAAGAGAGAATAGCAGATTTATTCAATTATATCATATGATCGTAATACTATTACTCATTGAAATAAATAAATGATGAGTATTTTTAAGGGCATTCTATAATGAAAGTACGCAACGTTATTTTTTATTTTTAAATGCATCATAAGATACTTCTAGAATGTATAAAAATAGTATAGGCGGTATATGAATAACAGAAAAAAAAATACTGGTTACGTAGACGATCCATAAATTATTCATCGTTTATAAAATGAAACATAGAGGGTAGTAGTATTTCTCGTGTATGTATATTGTGTAGACGTGAAGGATGATTAAAGGAGGGCTGAAGAGAAAAATGGAGTAGAGGGTAATTGTAGAGGAAGAAAAAAAGGCGAACGACGTAAATAGTTTACAAGAACATATAAAAGGAGTTTACTAGCGAAAACATCTCTAATTAATTTCTAAAACAATGAGTAAGTTGTAGATATATAAATTTTATTTCAATCTCTTTCAAAATAAATTATGACACACCCTTATTTATAAGCCATACTTGTTTTTGATAGAATCGATTTATTGACCTTTTGTTTGTTCTCAATAGTACTTTTTTCATGCCCTCTATTATTGATAAAACATTCTATAGAAAATTCTAGGTCATGATGACGATCAATAAATAATGATCGATATTTTGTCATATACATTTAAGATATTCAAACTTATTAGATTTAGTTCTATTTTTTTAGAAACATATCTACTATTTCATAATTTAAGTAGAATAAATAGATGATCTCTAAACTATGACATATATATTATTTTCGTTTGTTCGAGGCCTGATCATACACCCTTGCTTGAGCTTATCAATCTTAATCTATTTTTTTCTAACTACATAGATAACCTTAATACTTGACATATATATATATTTTAAATTAATAGATGAAATTTTGAATGAGTAATGCTTAGTTGCATTTTTTTAATTTCTAATTGTTAATAAAATAATACAACGATTTTTTATATCAAAGCAAAAATCCCTAGATGTAAACTAATTTCGTATCTTAAGAAAAAAACAATCATGTGACATCTACTAGAAATGATAAGAAAGACAAAATAGCTTACGTATTTTATTATTATGTATGTCACATGCGACAAAGAAATAGATCATTTTATAAAATGCCCTCTCTTTTATTATCTTTATCTTGCAGTCTGTAAGAAAAGTATGAGTTCATATCTAAAATTATCGTATATCTTAGAAAAAAAACAACAATATTTTTTTTTCTTCTTGTACAACTTAGGAATGTTATCTTTTTCTCTCTTCTTTCTGCATCATAGCTTTTTATTAAGAGAAAAAAACAACATATGTATATAATAAGAACGACATAGAAAACGATCAGAGCGATAACACGAGATATAAAATCGTAATTCTTTGTATAACTATATATCAGTTTATTCTAGATAATAAACAAGAGTCGGATTGAAAAAAACATATTACTAAAATGGTGTATGTTATTGATGAAATCAAAACGTCTGGCACATCTATGCCATATGTTCCAACACCATTAGATTTACCGACTCCAATTGTTGATAAACCAACTAAATCAACAACTGAACAACAACAACAATCAAATAAATTAAATGAACAAGACGAAGAAGATTTTATTAAAAATAATTATGTTGCACGTACATTATTAAATGAATCTCAATTACCACCTATTACTTGGTCAAATTGGTATAGAGAAGTTAATTGGCCTCAAGCTATACTATTATGTCTTGAGCCTTTCGTTGCATTATATGGTTTATTTACAACATCATTTATGTGGCAAACAACTGTCTTTACTCTTATATGGTATTTTCTTACTGGTTTTGGTATAACTGCTGGTTATCATCGTTTATTTGCTCATCGAGCTTATGAAGCAACAAAAACTTTACGTTATATTTTACTTACATTTGGAGCTGGTGCTGTACAAGGTTCAGCACAATGGTGGGCACGTGGTCATCGTGCACATCATCGTTATACTGATACAGATCTTGATCCATATAGTGCACATAAAGGCATGTTTTATTCACATATTGGTTGGTTAATATTTAAACCTCGTCGAAAACCAGGTGTAGCTGATGTTACAGATTTAAATCGTGATCAAAGTATTCAATGGCAACATCGTAATTACCTCAGTTTAGCTTTTTTTATGGCATTCGTTTTTCCAACACTTTTCTGTGGTCTTTTATGGGGTGATTATCGTGGTGGTTATTTTTTTGCCGGTGTTCTTCGTCTTGTTTTTGTACATCATTCAACATTTTGTGTTAATTCATTAGCACATTATTTAGGTGATGCACCATTTGATGATAGACATACACCACGTGATCATTATATAACAGCTCTTGTTACACTTGGTGAAGGTTATCATAATTTTCATCATGAATTTCCATCAGATTATCGAAATGCACTTAAATGGTTTCAATATGATCCAACAAAAATGTTAATAAAATTCTTTAAAAGAATTGGACTTGCTAGTAATTTAAAAGAATTTCCTCAGAATGAAATACAAAAAGGTCGCTATACAATGGCACGCAAAGACTTAGATCAGTTTGGACAAAGTATTACATGGCCAAAAACAAATACTGATTTACCATTGATTTCTTTTGAAGAATATCAACAATTATCAAAAAAGAATGATGGTCGAGCATTAGTTTTAATTGCTGGTTTCATTCATGATGTTAGCAATTTTATTGATTCACATCCCGGTGGTCGAGCTATAATTCAAAGTCAAATTGGTAAAGATGCTACTGTAGCATTTTATGGTGGTGTACATGATCATAATACTGCAGCACATAATATGCTTGCTATGATGCGAGTTGCTGTTTGTAAATATGGTGGTGAAGTTGAACATCTCAAAAGAAGACTGGGACATATTCAAACTCCGACTCCTATTTTTGCTTAATTGTTTTATTTGTTAACTTATAGTGCATTTCTGAATTCGATATGAAAGATTTCGAATAAAGAATAAAAATAAATACATAAAAGAAAAGGAAGCGCACGGATATTATTTATTAAAATCGTGTACTTATAATAGTTTGATCGTTATCATCATTTTCATGTTGAATATTAATATGTACAAATAGAGTGGAATAAGTTTGATCGTTGTTATTAGCTCGTAGATGAATATGACGGTATCCTAATTAGAAAATAAAATAATGGATTAGATTTAACTATTAATTACCTGTTTGTATCATTGTTAATGGTGAACAAAAATAAGCAATTCTATCGTTTTGTGTTAATACATCATAATCCATAACAGATATATTTATAAGACACATTTGAGGATATTTTATATGAAATTGAAATGTTTCATTCCAATTTGGATCAAATCCATTATTATCAATAACTTTTGTTTTTCGTGCGTAGTCGTCGCAATGTAAACCATGTGTTGATATTCTAACATATGGATCAGGTATATCTGATGTTTTTACATTTGATCGAGGTAAAAATTGTCCACTAATAATTTTTATTGTTAAAATTTGAGGAGAATCAAGATTTGTATCATAACTTAATGGATTAAAATATGTATGTTTAGCATTAATTAAATAATTTGGTTTAAGTACATAACCACAACCACCATTATCAAGAAATTTACCATGACATAATGCTATCGCATCATCTTCGGTATGATAGTTTAAAGCAACCATTTGTATACCAAAATTCCAAGGTTCTATAGGATCTGGATTACTTGAATCTTGTCTTATACCACCAGGATATAAACGTAGAAGACGCCGTGTTGTTTGTTCAACTAAATTAAGTGGTTCGGATTGTGCAAGTTTATAGAAAGTATTTTCTGCCAAAGATGATGAATGAAATGGTGAATCTTATGGCACAAAAAAAACATTTAATTAATATTTATAAAAGAATATTAATAACTTACAATGAACTTTTGAATAAACACTATCACGAAAAGGTACATTTTGTAAATAGATAAAAAGTGCAGCTAGTTCTGGTTGTATATCCTATAATATTAGATAGTATATATCTTCTAGTATATAATAGAATAAAAATACAGACATACCTTGCTTAATGGATTTAGAATTGTATCATTATCATCTGCTTCGTCATGTGCTGTTGATATTTTTTTACTCTAAGAAATACAAATATAAAATCATATTTTTGTTTGTGTATAGTAAAATTTACTAACACGAATAAGAACTCTATGTTTTAAATCTTCTGGTGATGGTAAAATTGATGGATCTTTATTTGGTAATGGTTTTGTAATTAGTCGATCTATATTTATAAAAGAGAATGCTATTGTATATTTTCTACTTATTTATTTACCGCCAAGAATATCTATTAAAATTCGTGCCATTTGTTTTTGTTGTTCTAATGAACAATGATTTTCAATATTTAATATAACTGGGTACCTTATTTTTAAAAAGAAATGCATAGAAGAAAAGAAAATTCTTCAAAAATAATTACGGTGATGCTTTGAAAAGATTTGGTTCTATAGAGCGAATAATTGATTCAAATGAACATGGTTTTACAAATGTATGAGCATGAGTAACTATTGGTCGACCATTATCACCATCATAACAATCAAGTTCAACAGCTCGACAACCCATAAGTAATACTCGATTATAAGCTTCTGGATTACTACGACCAGATACTTGACTATAGAATAAATAACTAAAATACGAAAATTTTATTTAATAATAGAAAAAAAAATTCTAGTCATACGTATTATGAGATGTATTAATATAATAATCACATAACGGTCTAAATTATTTCAAATAAAATATTTATTGTAATTGTATATCTATGTTTATTTGTCTATACCTTGTCATATCTTGATATATCTGACGTGAATGATATGATCCAATAATATCGAAATCTTCTGATAAGAACATATTTCGAAATCCTCAAAACGAAAAAATATTTATTCTTTTTAATCCATATCCCCGTGAAAAAAAACCCTTCCAATAATATCTGCATAAACATACCATCAAGACTTAAAAGACCTTTATCACGTAATTCAGTATTCTTTTCATATTCGTTGATTATATCTTGTACTTGTTCTAATTGAAGTAAATTCATATTTTTATTTTGACATTGTCGAAGAAATGTGTATAAATCATTTTTGTCCATATAAACTTTTTCCATTGGTTGTATATAGGCAACTTTTGTATGTCTAAAATATATATATATATTAATCAATAATTGAAATAATCAAAATAACTTTTTCATAATTTCATAAAGATCTTTTCGACGTGTTAATATATGAAAAAATGTAATAAATTCATCAGAACTTAAAACACCTTCATTTGATTTATCTGCTTGCTATAAAATAAATAAATTAATAAATTAATAAAAATGAAAAATTTAATTTTACTTTAAACATTTGTTCAAAAATATGATTAGGTAATTCAACTTGAAATGCATTTGTAAGTAAATCTCGACATTCTTTTTTTGTTAATGTATTTGAACGATTTTTATCAGCTAGATGAAAAAAATCTAAAATCCATCTGAAAATATCGAATAATAAATTCTTCTAAAAAGAATCTTTTTATTTTTTTTTTCTAACTTTTCTTCTTGAATTAAATGATATTGAGTTTGTTGACCATGTCGTTTTATTAATTGTTGTAAACCTTCTATCCATAATTGCCTTGTATCTATATCCGATGCAATTAAATGTTCTTGCTTTCGATAATTATCATACATTATTGAAAAAACTCGTTCATCCTTAAATATATTTAATTATAGATAAAAAATACATTTCAAGTTTTTTTTAATGCTTATACATCCTTATTTTTGATAATACCACGTTTAACAAGTTTCTCAAATCCTGGCGAATGAATTCCTGAACGAATTTCATCAATATCTTTTACATTATCTAGATTATTAAAAAAAAATTGTATTGAGAAAAAAAAAGAATATTTCGACTTACATATTCTTGGTTTACCAAACATTTTACGAGATTTTTCATAGGTTATAAAACCTTCACGTTCATGAAGAAAAAATCGACGAGGAAATTTTTTACCATTAAATTTTTGTTTAGTCATAAATGAACCAGATTTAAGTTGATCCAATATTCCTGTTGAACCATATTCGTTATTCATCATTAATACTTTGTTTTTCGTTATCAAAAATAAAAAAAAACAGCAATATAAAAACTTGATTATATATGTATAACGATCTATGTCTTCGCTTCACTTGTGTCAATATTACCTTTATATGATTATCATATAACATTTTACAAAACTTTTTTTTGCGTTATTCGTAGTGATATGATGTCAAAAACAAATATTTTTAAATCGAAAACACAATTATGTTAGTCGTTTTGAAAATGAATCATCTTATAACATACATTTGTATCCTACACACACACATCAATCAACTATTGTCACGAATACCAGCTGACGCATTGAAGAAAAAAAACAATGAATTTGCTATGAACTTTTGTTATATAAATGCAAAATAATGCTTTTTTTTAAAAGAAATAAATTCGATGGTTAAGAATATGTGTATGAAAATGATAAAATAAAAACAAATACTTTACACGTGCAGGTTTCGATTAATTAAAATAATAAAAAGAAAGAAAGAAAGAGAGCTATCTCAGTCAGACAACCTTTGAAAACGACGACGTTGTTGTGCGCTAAGAAAAAAAGAAATTTCTTTTTGAGAAAAATGAATTCATAACATTAATGTTTACAAGCCTCTTTTTCCTTCAAAAGAAAATTTATTTTTAACCGCGCAAAAATGTGCGCTTTTTACGCGTAAAAAATATCGTTTTTTTACAAAGCTTCTCTGACTAGAATACTTATTGATAATAACACGAGAGAAAAGAAGATTTCTTTGCTTATTATTAAACTCAAAATATTTACTAGATAATTTTGAATCTTTTGATCATTGAATATTTATTTATTTTCTTTGTATTAAATAAAGTATCGAAATCATTTCTTTTCTTTCTAATCGACTAGAACCAATAAGCGATATTTTTCTTTATTCGATTGTAACGATAAGTTTCAGAAATATAGTATGAAATGATTGTGTTTTATCTTTTGAATGAAATAAAGCTTTTATTTCATTATGAATCGAGATCTTGTTGACTGCTTGATAATGCCGCTACATTGTTGAGTATATAAATAATTTATTAATGAAAATGAATCAGTTTATTCCGATTTAATCATACGAAATATAATCAAGAAATATCGAAAATGTAAAATCAGTCGCTTATTTACATAATGTGAACTCTAAAGATCAAGTTTTCTTCGCTACTATATATAAATAGTTAGAAGTGTAGTCCTAAATCTGCTTTTTCAGTACAGGTTGTCAGTGTCAATAGATGTCACATAATGACAATCTTGTCGTTTTTTCCCATTTTTTCGCTTCTCTAATCAAGTTGTTTTTCTCCTGTTCAGTTGCTTTTATTTTCGTTAGGATATACACATATTGGAAAATGTAATAGAATGGTTAGATAACACAAAAAATTTTAATTTATATCACATTTCAAGTACCTTTCGTTACCTTATCTTGTTGATGATGATGCAAAAGAAAATATATTAAATCATTCGACGATTTCTATGAATTTCTATTAACAAACTATCTTTTATCGGAACATAACACACATCCTACGCCTCAAAATAATTTTACATTGAATCTTTTAACACATTAAAAAAACTACAAATAATTTAGATTTAACCGATAATATACCACCACGCCCCGTTTTAAGATCAACTGCACTGGATGATGAGTCCGAAAATTGATCGAAAATTGCACCATCTAAAAGCATCGTACATAATACCGGTAATCTCGCTCAGGCAATATACGTATTACACAAAGTCATCGTAGACAATTTAATTAAAAACCCAAAAATATTCCAAGGTGGAAAAGAAGACTTCAAATAATGGCTAGAAGATATCGAACATCTTATTGATACAGCTCAAATTTAATTTCGTATTCTATACGTGGAGAAGCTCGTCGTTGGTATAAAAATATCAAAGCTACATTAACATTGTGGTCAACCTTCGTGCAAGAATTGAAAGAAGCATATTTAGCTTCTTTTCAAGCTGAGTTCGCCTTTAAGAAACTAGAATCGTATACTCAAGGAATTAACTAATCGATACGAAACTTTTTATAAAATTCTAAAATTGGGTTCCAAAATGGATACCAATATAAGCAAGTCCTCGAAATTAAGACACCTTCTTACAAGAAAGCCAAACTTACACTTCAGTATGAAATAATAAAGGAAAAATCAATAACAACGAAACAATATTTTGAAGATGCAAAAGATGCAGAGGAACTTTTCCAGTTGTCTAATATCGATACTGAAGTCCATTCTTAAAAAAAGTGGTGCTCTGCTGAGCCCCAAATACGGTTTTGCCGTTATCAAAAAGTCTCCAAATATGTTCAAAGTTTGAAAAACATAGTAAAACATTCTATGAAATCATTAACAGATCTTTTCCAAATAAAAGAGCGACAGCACATGTTGTTTGTATTTTTTAATTGAAGATACTGTTGATCTTTTACGAAAGAGTCGAATATTCTCAATAAAATCATAGCAAACAATCAAACAGTAAGTAGTATTGAGTAGGTGTACTTTCGTTTCATTTAAATGTGTGGATGAGATGGTTAGATGGATATACATATTGATATTATCTCACAACCACTCTAACAAGAAAAAACGTTCTGTAGAGAGTAATAACAATTCACTGGCAAAATGTCTACATGTTTTCATTATCTCAAGAGATCCGCAATGACTCAAATCAATGCATCAGATTTGTTGTCATTTTATTTTTATGTCATGATCATCAGTTCTATATAAAATAAAAACGATCGCTACGATTGGAGTTTTTCGACATGCAGAAATTTCATGAAACTTTTAAGTCGAATCAATTTCAATTAAATAAACTTGAGGGTGTGGGTGTGGTTGCAGTATTCGATTTATAAATCATACACATCCACCAACACGCACACCCTCTGTTGATTTATTCTGCGATGAAAGGATTATAACTTCTATGAATAATGAAATACAAGATACTAAGAAAACTCGAAAAGATAAATATGCAAGAAACATTCATATTATTATTTGAAATGTAAATTTATAATTGTCAACATGTTCAAAAACAATTATCATGTTGAATAACATTAGCATTTTGCTTCGTCAATTAAATCGATAAGAATTGTCTCATATATCTTAAACAGTTTTTATTAATTGTTCATCATCAGGATGGTTGTATATCTATTCAATAATTGCATGAAAGGATACAGCAAGATAAAACGAAAAATATTCGTTATATTTCTTTTTGCAACTCATTTGTTTACACATACTTTACTTTCACAGACTGTATATATACAAGAACGAAAAAAAAGAATGATGATAATCATAATAATTAGACATGAAAGTTTGTTTTGTTCGTTGCCAATGTACTTTTCTTTGTTGATCTCTCTCGCATTTCGTATTTATATTTTTAAAAGCATCTAAAAAAAGAATATAGTCATTCGCCATTAAATAATGGCTGTGTCGTTAACAAACTTTCTTTTAGCAGAATCAATTTGAATTTATAGAAGCCACATGGATACTCTCGATAATACCTTTTTATTTGTACCGTGAAAGCAGAAGCGATAATTTGTGTCTTCGACACATTCCTACCGATGCTTAAAAACTGCAGAGTTTATAAATATAAACAAAACAAAACACGTATACAATCTATTCTCGATATGAGATATGATGTATCCACCAATTCTACAATGTGCACAAAGTTGTTTATAGTGTACAGAATCGTTCTCAATAGACTTTATTCAAGACATTCCTATAAAATACACAATTTAAATGAAATATTATTGATAATGTTCTTTTTTATCAAATTATATTTATCATAAGCACGATTATACTGATGTGTGTAATTTTTTTCACTTTCCATTGACTAATATCAAAATTTGTAAAATATAAGATTATTGTTAACACTAGTTTACAATTTAAAAATATTCTTCAATCTTATTTTTCTTCTGGTTGATTGATCCAGTGTCAATAGAATGATTAATATACAATTGTTGTGAACCTCACTTATGAATGACAAAGAGCGAAAGAAAGAAGTAATAAAATTCGCCGAAAAAGTATCATCCACGCAGTGACATACTGAAATAATTGCGCAGACGTAAATAAGAAAAATTTGGAAAGAAAAACAATGAATTAAAATGCACAGTTGGCTTTTTTGTGTTTTGTTCGTTCGAGTTTGGTTTATTTCTCTCTCTTTCTCTCTGTGTTTTTTTCACCATAGTGTGCTATTAATAATAACTAGGTGATAAGATTCCCTTTTTATGTCAACAAAATAATACAAACATTGTATCTGGCAGAAGAATCGAGAAAAAACAATCGTTGCCTATATAAATCGATATTGTAATCTCTGTTGTCTCTCTAATCAACACACTCAATTACAAGTTCACATTCATTGTCAAATTACAACTCACATTAATATGGGCGCAAAAAAATCGAAAGAAAAGTTTGGGTCAGTCTCCAGTACAGGTGCATCTAATACAACTATGACAACAACAACGCCATCAACACGTCAGCGCATGGCCCAAAACTATCTGTTGGTTTGGGTCGATGCAACCATCGATCAAAACAACAAAGATTGCCAGGATACGTTGACACAGCTCCGTACTGTTGTCAATGATGTCATTATGTTCAATCAATCAGATGCATGCATTCAATTTCTCGATCAAACGAATGATGAACAAGCTTTCGTTATTACGTCGGGATCGCTTGGTCAACATTTGGTTCCTGAAATTCATGGCATGCCAACATTAGGTGCTATTTACATATTTTGTGGCAACGTATCCTATCATGAACAATGGACCAAGAATTGGAACAAGATCAAGGGTGTTCATAATAATATCAAGGACATCTGTGACGCCTTAAACGAAGGTGTCAAACAAGTTAATCAGGATTCAATCCCTATTAGTTTTGTCACGACGAATGAAGTGGTGTCCAGTGACAGTCTGAATCAACTGGAACCAAATTATATGTACACACAAATATTCAAGGATATTCTCCTTAAAATGGAACATGATCAAGAACAAGCCATCGACATCTTAGCAGTTTATTGTTGCAAATTTTATTCGGACAATATTGATGAATTAAGTGTTATTGCTGAATTCAAGCGTGATTATCGTCCAGAACAAGCAATTTTGTGGTATACACGCGAGTGTTTTACCTATCAAATGCTCAATCGAGCACTTCGAACATTGGATGCCGATACAATTATTAATATGGGATTTTTTATTCGTGATCTTCACCAACAATTGCATCAACTACATGAACAACAACTTTCGAATTATCATGGTGAGCCGTTTTTCGTTTATCGAGGACAAGGTTTGTTCAAAACAGATTTCGAGAAACTCAAAAAAACAAAAGGTGGTCTCATGTCGTTTAATAATTTTTTATCCACCAGCACGAAAAAAGATGTTTCCCTTCGGTTCGCCAAGGGCGCCTTAGGAAATCCAGATATGGTAGGAATACTTTTTATAATGACTATTGATCCTCGTGTCTCATCAACACCATTCGCCTCTATTAAGGAGGTTAGTTATTTCAAAGCAGAAGAAGAAATTCTCTTCTCTATGCACACTGTGTTTCGAATAGCTGCAATTAAACAAACGGACAATGATGATCGACTTTATGAAGTTGAACTTCAACTAACTGCTGACGAAGATGAACAACTTCGACAATTGACTGACTGTATAAGCAAAGAGGTTGACGGTAGCACAGGATGGCACCGATTATGTAATTTATTACGTAAAACAGGTCATTTCGATAAGGCTGAAGAACTATATCAAGTAGTATTAGAACAACCATCGAGTGAGGATGACAAGCCATTTTATTATAATAATCTTGGATATGTCAAAGACCAGCAAGGTCATTATGAACAAGCTATCGAGTATTTCGAAAAAGCACTTGGAATGTGGGAAAAAACTCTTCCTGCAAATCATTCTTTGTTGGCTACTTCACACAACAACATTGGTAGTGTGTATAAGAATATGAAAGAGCACTCGAAAGCACTTTCATTTTTCGAAAAAGCACTTGAAATCAATGAAAAAATTCTCCCTGAAAATCATCCTCACATGGCTATGTCCTACAACAACATTGCCAGTGCGTATAATGGTATGAGGGAGTACTTGAAAGCAATTGCATTTTATGAAAAAGCAGTTGGAATTAATGAAAAAGCTCTTCCTGCAAATCATCCTGACTTGGCTATTACCTATAACAACATCGCTAGTGCTTATGATGATATCGGGGAGTACTCGAAAGCAATTGCATTTTATGAAAAAGCGCTTGGAATCCAAGAAAAAACTCTTCCCGAAAATCATCCTGACTTGGCTACTTCCTACAACAACGTCGGTCTTCTATATTATAACATAAAAGAATATTCAAAAGCACTTTCATTTTACGTAAAAGCACTTGGAATCCAAGAAAAAACTCTTCCTACAAATCATCCTCACTTGGATAATTCCTATAACAACATTGGTAGTGCGTATCAGAACATGAAGGAGTACACGAAAGCACTTTCATTTTATGAAAAAGCACTTGGAATCCGAGAAAAAACTCTTCCTACAAATCATCCTGACTTGGCTACTTCCTACAACAACATTGGTAGTGTGTATGATAACATAGGAGAGTACTCGAAAGTACTTTCATTTCATGAAAAAGCACTTGGAATCCGAGAAAGAATCCTTTCTGCAAATCATCCTGACTTGGCTGCTTCATACAGCAGCATTGGTATGTTGTATTATAAAATGGGAGAGTACTCGAAATCAGTTTCATTTTGTGAAAAAGCACTTGGAATCCAAGAAAAAATCCTTCCTGCAAATCATCCTGATTTGGCTGCTACGTACGGCAGCATTGGTATTATGTATGATATCATGGGAGAATACTCAAAAGCACTCTCATATTTTGAACGTGCTTATGATATTACGAAAGTTTCATTACCACCAAATCATCCTGATCTTAAAGCTGTGAAAGAGGTTGTTGACAATGCAAAAAAGAAATTATAATTTTTTCTTCTGAATAAATAAAAGAATGTCTTCTTTACGCAGGAGAAAAATAACTATATTTTATTATTTACTTACGTACGCATACAGGGAACATCTCTGTAAATAATGAAAAGGCGATGGACATAGCCCACCGGTAAGACAACACACATATATAATATAATACGTACGTGTGAAAGATCTTCACGGACATGTTGACGTTTCTAACATTAAATACGAGAATATTCTCTATAAGTTAAAAAAATAAATATAATGCCAGAAGTCGTCGATTATCATTGTAATAAACATGTTGAAAATGAACGTAAAAAAAACAAATCGGAATAAAATAAGAAAAGAATAACTTGCCTTGTTTGACTTATATTGATTATTGTATTGTAGCGAAGGTGTGGGTGTCAGCTGTTATCAGATTACATACCCACCCACACCCTCTTGTTTATACTATAAGCAAGAGAGAAGACGCTTTTCTTCTTTTCTAATCAATGATTTGAGTATGGACAGTCACCAAGACCGGTGACGTAGAATATCTTTTTATTTAATTCAAGTGAATTCAATATAAGTGAGATGAAATAAAAATTAACTACAAAGAAGAATTGTACCCCGTTATAAAAAGTTGTTATAAAACTAAATCTTATAATAATGGTGAGTGTAGGTTTAACTAAAGAAAAGACATCCACACCCACCTACACCATCATTCTTCCATCGACACTGTAATATGAAATTTATATTATTATTTTTTTGTTGATATTTATTCTCTCCCATAAGACAAACATGTGAAAAAAATGACTATCAAACACATCGATTAGGAATATGAAAATAAGTTTGTGGTAAAGGTGTACAATGTTGAGAATCAAAATTAACTAAGTATTGATCGATTAAATAAATTGCAAAACGTTGTCGTTCGAGTAATGAAAAATTTTCACCAAATTTACAAGGATATGATGGAGTTGGATTTTCCATACGATATTCTCTTGTTTGTGTTTGTAATTCAGTTTGATTTAAACAATATTGATCAAATAAAGCAATTCGTTGCGTATGACTTGAACAAATATATCGTCTTAAAAGTGTTAATGTTTGATCATCATTATAAATAAATGGATAACGATAATGAAGAACATGAAATAAAAG